CTCCCTCCCTCCCTCCCTCCCTCCCTCCCTCCTCCCTCCCTGCTCCCTCCCTCCCTCCCTCCCGGCCTCCCTCCTCCCTCCCTCCCTCCCGGCCTCCCTCCTCCCTCCTCTCCACACCCCCCCGCCTGCCTCCTCCCTCCCTCCCTCCCTCTCCCTCCCGCCATCCTCCCTCCCTCCTCTCACCCCCCCCCGCCTCCCTCCCTCCCTCCCTCCCTCCTCTCCACCCCCCCGCCTCCCTCCCTCCCTCCCTCCTGCCTCCCTCCCTCCCTCCCTCCCGCCTGCCTCCCTCCCTCCCTCCCTCCCTCCCGGCCTCTCTCCCCCGGCCTCTCCCCGCCCCTGGGAGCCACAGGTAAGGCCAGGGGCCCCCGTCTGTCCTCGCAGACAAGCTGACCGTGGAGGCGGCGGACTGGCGGGTGCAGGGCGAGGAGGACTTCTCCTGGCTGGGCTACTCGCTCCACGCCGCCCCCCTGGGCAACAGGACGCTGCTGCTGGCGGGGAGCCCCACCTGGAAGAACAGCAGCAGGTGAGCGGGCGCGGCCGGCCCTCGGCCCTCGGGGGCGCGGGAGGGGCTCAGTGCTGCCCCCGGGAGGCCTCAGGCAGGGCCAGGCCGCAGGTTCCCGCAGGATGAGGCCGGTGCTCGGGAGGGCTGCCCCGCACCGGCCAGCTCCCGCCCGCCCCGCGCCGTGTGCTCCCTCCAGCCTGGGCCGCCGCTTCCGCTCGCAGGACGAGAAGCAGAGCCTGGGCCGCGTGGACGGCTACTTCCCGCCCGGCCGCCAGAGCGCCTTCTCCATCGCGGGCGACCAGGTAGCGCCCCCCCGCGGACGGGACGTCCCGCCCGGGGCACAGTCCCGGCCGGCCTCTGACCCGGGGCCTCCCGCAGGCGATGGGGAAGCTGGGCACCTCCCTGTCCAGCGGCCACGTGCTGGTGAGGGGGGCGCGGACGCCCGTGCTGCTGGTGGGCGCCCCCACGCACGGTAGGTCACGCGGGCGGGCGGGCGGGCGGGCGGGCGGGGGCTGGGCGTCGCTGGGCACGGGGGGCCGGTCTGAACGTGCGGTTCGTTCCAGACGACGTGTCGAAGATGGCCTTCCTGACCATGACCTTGCACCAGGGCGGGGCCACCCGCATGTACCAGCTGGGCCCCGCCCGGCCCACCCCGCTCGGCTCCTTCAGCGGGGACCGCCGCTTCTGCCGCTTCGGGGGCGCCCTGCACCTGAGCGACCTGGACGGGGACGGCTTAGGTAGCTCCTTCCCCCAGTCCCCCGGTCCCCCCGGTCCCCCGGGCTCTCCTCACCACTGACCCCGGGCCCACGCCCGAGGGGCCGAGTCAGTCCCACCGGCACCGGGTGCGAGGGAGTGGGCACCTGTTCTCCGTTCAGCCAGCGATCTCCGCGCCTCAGAGAAACCCGTCAAGCGGGAGCCGCACCTTTTTAAAAACACACATTTTTATTGGTTTCAGAGAGAAAGGGAGAGAGAGAAACATCAACGATGAGAGAGAATCATGGATCGGCTGCCTCCTGCATGCACCCCTCTGTGGATTGAACCCGCAACCCGGGCCTGTGCCCTGACCGGGAATCGAACCCTGACCTCCGGGTTCATAGGTCGATGCTCAACCCCTGAGCCACAGTGGCTGGGCTGAGCTGTATTTTTGTATATGCATACGTACATGTATATGACGTACATGTATATGACGTACATGTATATGACGTACATGTATATGACGTACATGTATATGACGTACATGTATATGACGTACATGTACATGACGTATATGTATATGATGTACATGTATACGACGTACATGTATACGACGTACATGTATACGACGTACATGTATATGACGTACATGTATATGACGTACATGTATACGACGTATATGTATACGACGTATATGTATACGTATACGCATACGTGTACGTATCTGTATCTGTATATTGATTTCAGAGAGCAGGGGCGCGGGAGAGGGGGGAACACGAGTGAGCGTGACGTGAGCTGGGCCTTCGGAGGTGGCGGGTGATGTCAGAGCCGCCACGTCCGCTGTTGCCCCGTGGCCGGCAGGAAGCCGGGCTGGGCGGCGGCGTGGGGTCCCGGCGCCGGGGAGGTCGGCAGGGCCGTGGGGGCGGGCGGGGCGCCTCCCGCTGCTCTCCACCACAGACGAGGTCCTGGTGGCCGCCCCCCTGCGGACCGCGGACGTGACCTCGGGGCTCATGGGCGGCGAGGACGGCCGCGTCTACATCTACAACGGCAGCCGCAGCCTCTCCGGCGACGTGACGGGCAAGTGCAAGTCCTGGACGTCCCCGTGCCCGGAGGAGAAGGTAGTGTTCCCCGGGGAGCACCCCCGGGGCCGGGGAGGGGGGATCCCTCCACCGGCACGCACCGCCTCTGCTGGAGCCGAGCCCGGTCAGCGCACGGCCTCACCGCCCGTCTGGCCCCGCAGCATCCGCCCCCCAGCTCGCCCCAGGGCCCGGCACCCCGTGAACCCGGTCACCCCGCCTGCCGGGCTCCGCCCACTGCGCCAGCTCCCCGCTCTGCGTCCTGGCCCACAGCCCTCGGCCATTCCTGCGAACCTCCTAGGGTTTTCCCAGCACCTGGTCTATGGAATCCCCGTCAAAGCCACTGGCTCAGCCACGGGCCCTTTACAGGGAGGCAGGACAGCAGGGAGGCTCCTGGCTCCAACGAGCCCAGAGCAGATGCGAGCGCAGCCACACTGTGCGCACCTCCCCCCTGGCCACACTGCACACGCCTCCCCCCTGGCCACACTGCGCACAGCTCCCCCCTGACCACACTGTGCGCACCTCCCCCCTGGCCACACTGCACACGCCTCCCCCCTGGCCACACTGCGCGCACCCCCCCCCCCCCGGCCACACTGCACACACTTTCCCCCTGACCACACTGTGCGCACCTCCCCCGTGGCCACACTGTGCGCACCTCCCCCCTGGCCACACTGCACACACCTCCCCCCGGCCACACAGCGCTGCTACGTGTTTGCTAACCTGCCAACGTACAGCACGTTCCTGTGCCTCCCCAGCGTCTCATGTGATATGTTCAGCGGTTGTCGTGTATTTTATCTGTAGACGAGCCGTAGTCCCTTTAGCCACTGTTATAATATTCACATATAGACACTTACACATGTATTTTTCTTTTTTAAGAATAGTTTTATTGATTTCAGAGAGAAAGGGAGAGGGAGGGGGAGAGAAGCATCGATGAGAGAGCATCATGGATCGGCTGCCTCCTGCACACCCCCTGCCCTGGGGATGGAGCCCACCACCCGGGCCTGTGGCCTGGCTGGGCCACACGTGTTTCCCTGGCCTGCGTCCTCCGAGGGGCCCCGGAGTCAGAGGGCTCGTGAACGTGAGCACTGAGCCTCCCTCCTCTCTGTCCTCCAGGCCCAGCACGTCCTTGTGGCCCCGGAGGTAAGTAGGCGGAGCGGAGCTGTGGGCCTGCCCTCCCGGAGCCGTCCGCGTGGGGCGTCTCCCAGGCGTCACCCTCTCTCTACAGGCGAGCTCGCGCTTCGGGAGCGGCCTGGTCACCGTGCGGTCCCAGGACAAGGTGGGGCCGGGCTGGGTTTGGGGATGGCTCCGTTCCGATGGGATTTTGTTTTCACTTGGGAAAGAGGAGCACCCCTCACCTCACCCAGGGGGAGAGCTCCTGAGGACAGGTGGGGCTCACAGCTCCTTCCGGTCAGTGGCTGGGGAGCTGGGGACCGAGGACAGGGAGCAGAACCTGGGCGAGGCCCCACCTGAGCTGCTTCTGCCGCGCTGGTGGGCGGGGGCGAGGGTGCGTGAGGGGCGGTCCCCTGGTGGGCTGGGCACGGGCTGGGTGAGGGGCGGTCCCTCTGGGCCCCAGAGGGCCAGGCAGCCGAGGTCCCGCCATGTCTCCAGGGTCCTCTGACGACCAGCACTGTCTCCCCAGAACCAAGTGGTCGTGGCCGCGGGAAGGAGCTCTCTGGGAGCCCGACTGGCCGGGGCGCTTCACGTCTACAGCCTGGACGCGGACTAGCGCCTCCGTGCGCCCCGCGGAAGCGGGAGAACCCGTGGGAGGTGCGGCTCCTGGCCCTGGAGACAGGAAACGGCACGTCCGACCGAGCTGCCAGCACGTGGACCGTGGGCATCGCCGCCATCCCGCCCGAGGCGACCCTGACGGCCGTGGGCCCGGCGCCGGCGGATTAAACGCTCACCGCGGTGATTCGGAACGGAAAAGCCGTCTGGGGTCTCACTAACACACGTCTGCACTTAGAGTTTAACTCAAAATCCCCTTTATTCCGACACCAGAACACACTCCCACGTCCTGGCAGTCTCTGGTTCACGTGTTTTTGCGGTTTGTCTCTGCACCAGCGTTCTTCAGAGCGAAGGCGCGGGGCTGCCTGGGGCCTAACGAACCAGCGTGATGGGAGGAGTGGGGGGAACGCGGGCGCCCATTAGACCGCCTCCACGCGGGCACACAAGTGAACCGGAAACTGACCCTGGATAAACATGGCCGTCCCCCAACAGGGTCCTGCCGAGCTGGGGCTGGGGAGGGAGGGGGGCCTCAGCAGGACAGCCTCCCGGTGGCCGTGGGCGCGGCCTGTGCAGTGGGTGGAGCCTCCCGTCGCTGTGCGTTCGGGGTTCGAGCACCTCCTTCCACAGAATCGTAGGCCCTCCGTCCATTTCAGCTCCAGGCTGAGCCTGTCAGCGTCCGCACAGGCTGTCACGGCTGGCGGTCAGCGTAAGGGGCACCCGTGGTCTCCGGGCAGGGCCGCTCGCCGCCCACCAGGAAGCCCCTTTGCCAGCTGTGAGGTAGGTGCACTGCTCCCCTGATCCGGGACACGGCACCTCAGAAAGCCCCCTCCCCACAGCCACAAGCACACCGGAAGGAAGCACCCCTCGGTTCTACGCCTGGTCACAGACCGAATTCGGCTCTGGGCGGCCAGCTCCTGCCACAGGCCACGCCTGGCGCCGAGCCTCCGCCCACGGGGACCGCAGGGCCTCGCAGAGTGGAGCGCGAGAAACTTCACTCTTCCACGTCAGCCGGGGAAAGCAGGTTTATTCCGATCACCCAACCACGTACAGGGGCCTGAGCCGCCGCCTCCGTGTCCTCCGGAGCCGGGACCAGAGCAGGGGGTGTCTGTGACGCCCCCATGCTGCCTGCAGGGCTGCCTGGATGAGGCTGCGGTTCGGTTAGGGTGAGGCTAGCGGGTGGTTAAGACACAAGGAGCTGAGCTGCTGGCGGAGGCGCTGAGATGGCCGGCACAGGGAGCCGGTGAAGAGGGAGGCTTAACTGTTCTGAGGGACACAGGACTGGGAGCTGGGCTCCCCTGCTGGGTGGCTGAGCTGGCCTCCAGATCGGGGTGGCGCCCTAGAAAGCGCGTCTTAAACTCCCACCCAGGAGGGTGAGGGCGGGTCCGGGAAGGCTGGAGCGGGTGGGGGGGCTCGAGTCGCCTCCCCGGGCACTGGGCTGGGTGAAGGTTGGCTCAGGCCAGGGAGGATGGGACCGAGAGGTGAGGCGGATGCCTTAGGGCGGTCGCCTTAAGCTCTGGGCAGAGGCTAGGGCACAAGATCAGGGTCAGGGTCAGGGCTCATGTTGGGGCCAGAGTAGGGTTAGGGGACCCCTGCCTGAACCTCCAGACAGGAAAGGTCGGGGCATCGAGGAAGCCTGCTCTGACCTGCGCTCTGGTTGAAAGTGAAGGGGATGGCAGAGCCAGGAGTCTCCCCTCCTGCAGCCTGGGGCGCCCCACCCGCACCCCACCAGGAACCACCAAGCAGCGAAAAGCAGAGCGGAAACTGAGGAATTCTTTCAGCTCTTCTCCCCAGGCACAGTCACAGCCACGCCCAGAGCAGTTTGGGGTTGAGAGCTGTATCTGAATGAACTGGGGTACACAGAAAGCTGATGTGAGAGGGTCACACCCGTTTATTCCGTCTGTGAGGGGAGCGGAGCAGAAACAGGCGCTGCAGTGGCTCCCGCACAGACTCGGAGTGAAAGGAGTGAGAGGCTGCTGTGCGCGGCTGGCCCAGCCACGGGCACCTGAGCAGGAGTTCACAGACGGCCGTCTCTGCACCGTCTCCGCCCGGCGGCTGCGGACCTCCTGTCCTCGATGCGCGAGAAGTCCAGGCCAGGCCACGGCCCGTGGTTCCGCCAGCCGTCTGCCTCCGTCAGAGTCCTGACCTGTGGCCGGAGCCCGTGGCCTCAGAGCCCAGAAAGCGGGTTGCGTCCTAGTGCGGTCGCTGCGGGCTTCCTCGGGCGACACCGTAGCTCTGTGCTCTCTCCTCGCCGGCGGCCGGCTCACCGGGGCGTGAGGACGCTCCTGCTGGACCCCAGCCCGTCCGGCCTGAGGCTGGGCTTCGCGTCCAGCCGTCCGCCTGCGCGCAGGGTCTTCCTAGGTAGGGGTGCCGCCTGAGCAAAGCGGGCAGTGGCGTTAGTCTGCCGTTCTCAGAGTCAAGGCCACCCGGTCACCCTGAGGGGACCCCTGTGACGGAGAAAGGCGCTAACCTCTGTCCTTCCCGTGGCCCTGCCGGCCTGCGTTTCCGTCTGGGAACGAAGCCGCACCGGTCACTGCCGTCTCCTGGCTGAGTGCTCCTCCCACAACCCCCCTGCCCCCAGCAAGCAGCCCCGTGCTCCGGCACGGCTGTGCTCCGGCGCTTCACACCATCATCTTGCTCAGCTCCCTAACCCCGTGAGGCAGGTGGTGCTGGCGTGACTGGGGGGAGGGGAGGGGGGGGAGGACGGGGACCGAGGAGGCTTCCAGGCATTAAATATCCGCCGGGGTCAGGGAGTCTGCCTGACAGTGTGGCTGTGACCGCCCTGCCCCCCGCGGGGCCCGCACTACGTACCATCGGAGGCACAGGAGCCTCCAGCTGCCGCCCGAGGAAGGACAGCAGCCGCCTCCAGATCAGGCCACTGCCCATGAACATGACCCCGGTGACCAGCCAGAACACCCTGTGGTCCTGGGAGAGAAGAGAGCAGGCTGCGGTGGGTCACCAAGGCCCGAGGGAGGTCGTCTGGTTTTGACCTTGAGGGCATCCAGGGCTACTGAACAGCTGGGGCGGGAGGGGCCTCAGGTTCGCTTCTCTAATGACCACTGTTCCAGGTGAACGGGGTCCCCATGGAGACCACGGCCCGTGGGACCCGCCAGGACACAGAGCCCGAGCAGAGCGTGCTGACGGACGAGCTGAGCCCGGCCAGCGCCACACCACGTGCCTGAGTGCGGTGCAGAGCACAGGCTGCAGGTCTCTGGGTTCAAACCCAACAGTGATCTAGCTCAGCCCCGTGTTCTGGGCCTCACTGCTGTCATCTGTGCAGTGGGAACAATCACACACTTTCAGAGCCACACAGTGTGCCGCCAGCCGGGGCGCTGCCTGCCTCCCACACGGCCACGCGATGCAGTCCGAGAAGCAGAAGCCTGTCTGCCATGGGGACGGTGGAGCCCGCCTGGCTGTGGACCGGCCAGAGCACTCGTGTCCCGACGGGTGCACAGCGAAGACTGGCTTTTCGAAGTCTGTTTAAGAACGGACCTTCACTGTGTGAGAAGAACCCCCGCCTCCTGGACGGCATCCTCACCTCTTCCAGGGACGATTCCAAGTTCATGCCGAAGGCCACTCCGATCAGGCCGAAGAGCGAGAGCGAGAAGGTGCCCATGGTCAGCTGCAGGTTCAGCCGCATCATGACGTTGCGGTGGCTGCGGGATGGGACGTGTTGGGTCAGCCAGGGCCCCGGGGCCTGCAGGCACTGCCCCCCAGGAGCCACGCCCCCCCAGAGCAGGCGCCCTCTCCCGAGCAGCCCTCCGCGCCCACCTGTCCAGGTTGAGGAAGATGACGCTCTGCGAGTCGTCGATCAGCGCCCGCAGCTCGCGGGCCGCGTGCGCCAGGTCCTCGGCCAGCCGGTGGCAGTTCTCCAGCAGCAGCTCCATCTCCTCCGCGTGGTCGATGCCCGCGTTGCTCTGCTCACTCCAATCACAAGCGCCATGTAAGCAGCGCCCCCGCGCCACACCCCCGACTTCCGTGTCACACCCCCGACCCCCGTGTCACACCCGTGTCACACCCCCGACCCCTGTGCCATACCCCCGACCCCCGTGCCACACCCCCGACCCCCGTGTCACACCCCCGACCCCCGCGTCACACCCCCGACCCCCGCGTCACACCCCCGACCCCCGCGCCACACCCCCGGCCCCCGCGCCACACCCTCGACCCCCGCGTCACACCCCCAGCCCCGCGTCACACCCCCGACCCCCGCGTCACACCCCCAGCCCCTCGTGAGCACGCAGTGCTCGCTCCCAGTGAGCCCACTCGCCTGCCCTGTCAGGAGCCCGTGTGAGGGCCGTGCCCCTGACCCCGAACACCACACAGGGACATCCAGGCGTGTGATGCGGATGGACAGGCACAAGTTGGTGCCAGTGAACCAAAACCACAGGCCGAACTCGAAGGCGGATTCCCTGCCGGGGGGCCTGACCCGCACAGAGCGAGGCGATGAGGATGGACCCAGCTCTCCGCTCACCATCCTCGCTACGCCCAGCAGAGACCCGCCCAGGACACAGCCAAGGTGCTGCGTCCGTTTCTGCTGCGAGGCCTTGCTGGCGTCCCAGCTCCTTATCTCAGCGGCCTTACTGGACGGAGAGGATGCTTAAAGCCTGCAGACCGTGCTCTGTGCACGTCACAAAGCGTCTGCGTGAGCTTCTGACCTGCTCTACAGACGACATGCAACAGCGAGTGCGTGAGCCGCCAGCTCTGCGCCCGAGGGCCCCGAGGGCCGGCCCAGTGGCCCCGGGGATGGTCCAGACCCCCGAGGGAGCTAGGAGCTGGCCTGGGCGTCCGGGGCGGGAGGGCCACTCACAAGACCTCGGGGTCGCTCCACTTGCTGAGGCAGAGCTCCTCCAGCCGCTCCTCGTCGTCCAGGATCTCCAGGAGGGCCTCCTTGAACACCGTGACGTCCGTCTCCAGCTCGGACAGGCTGGAAGGCAGGTGCACAGCGAGATGGCGCCGCGGACTACGGACACGTGCCACCCTCTCGCACCAGGCAGTGGACAGGGATGTGTCGGCGTGCTCTGCTGTCTACGCGCAGACCGAGAACCCAGCCCCAAGCAGGGCCCGGGACAGAGCCAGACGCAGCCTTCCGCCCCATCACTCTTCCTTCCACTCGCGCCCGGACAGGAAGTCAGCACATCAGCAGCACTCGCTGGATTTAAAGACCAGGGATGCCCCACGGATCGTGTCTGGGTGATGCTCACGCCACTGCGACCACGCACAGGGCGTGCGGGACCGCTTACCTCCTGCCGTTCTGCAGCAGGATGTGCAGCTTGCTCCTGTCCACCGAGGAGTGCTTGGGGTCCACTAACGCCTCCAGCGTGTCGAGGATGCGGGGCTCCAGCAGGCGCAGCTTCCCCTGCAGCTTGCTGATCTAGAGCAAGACGGCCTCCATGAGCGCCAGCCTTTCCAGACGCTCAGGGTCAGCGAGCCCTGGGACTGGACACCATGGACAGCTGGGTGGCGGGTAAGGCTGCCGAGTGCGGCTGCAGGCACCGCTGTCCCAGGTCCTAAACGCCGGTCTGCTGGGGACAGAGCCCAGGCACATGCTGTTACCATGCTCGCACCTGACAGGCACTAACTCCTGTCACGAAAGGAGCGAGATGGATTAAGTACAAGGAAATCCACCCTTCCATGGTTACAACTCCAACTTCCGTTTGGTAAATACTGTTGCTCTTTGTAAACAGAGCACAGTCCAAAACTCCTATGAACAAAACTCTGAAAACTAAAGCATGACGTGGACTTGAAGATTTATTTTTTGAGAAGTCAAAAGTACACTATGACTCAGCCCCGCGGCAGGGCGGGCGCACTGAGACCCGCCCCGGCCAGCGGGAAACAGCGGAGATGACGACACATTCCAGCAGGTGCGCGCGCTCCCCGCCCGGCCCTGTCCCCCCCCCCCCCCCCCCCCCCCCCCCCCCCCCCCCCCCCCCCCCCCCCCCCCCCCCCCCCCCCCCCCCCCCCCCCCCCCCCCCCCCCCCGGAATCTCCTCTCCGTTCCCCGCCTGCGCTGTCCTGGCCGTTCGCGCTGGGAGCCAGGACAGGGCCGGAGCTGCGGCGGCTTACCCGGTACTGCAGGAGGGCCTCCATGGCTCTGAACTCGAAAGGCAGAGGGTACGTGACCAGCTGGCCCTCGCCGGCCAGCTGCGCGGGCAGCTCCCGGAACAGCCACTGCTCCAGGTTTAAGTGCCGGTAATCCAGGATCAGCAGACACTCGGGGGTGATCACCGCCTTCAGGTACTGCGGGGAGAGGGGCGTGTGCAGGCGAGGGGTCTACAGCCTGGGACGGAGCCCGTGCCGCCTCGGTGCCACAGACCTAGAGGGCGTTTGTTTTAACATCCCCCAGCGTCTTACCATGAAAACATTTATACAGAAAAGGCATACAGTGAACGCCCACGTACATGCCATCTGCACTGACAGTCTGCTCGCTTTGTCTGCCACATGCTTCCCGACCCGCATCCCAGAGTGTTCGTTCCAGAGCCACTTGGGCCCGTGGCTCACGCGCTGGCCAGGCAGCGGCTCCCGGCCGCAGGGGACCCGGGATGGGAGGGCCTCACCTCCATCCTCAGGATGATCCTGTTGTTTCTGGTGGTGATGCTCATGAGGTGCTGGAACCGCAGGTCTCTGGCCTGAAGACCTAATTCTTGATATAAGTCCGTCTTCTTCCTCTCTGCAGAAGAAATGTTTTCAAGGAAAAAAAGTGACTGGTCTAACCAATCAAAGAGCTTAGTCTTCGTAGCAGAGCACCCTCCCACCATCAAGAACCCGAAGCTGACAGGAGGGTTTAAATGCCTGTCTACCTCAAGAACACACTCAGGCTAAGCTAGCCCGGCTCGCGTATTCCTCCTCCTCTTATCCCATTCCATCAAGTCTCTGTGCGCAGCTCCCCGGACCCAAATAAAACCACGTGTGCCTGCAGGGGACTCGGCCTCTCCAGCGCCAGCATGGCACCTTGTTTAACAGGACCTGCAGTCTCTCTCATTTCTCACTCCCTTATCTTCAACATTTTAAGTCTGGGAAGAGAGAGGTCAAATTTTCTTTTCTCTTGGAGTAACACAAAATGAAAAAAAGTCAGTCCTCAGACTAGATTCTTCCTAAAAACGCAATTTACTCCCCAAGAGAAAGCCGACGGGGTGACAATTCCCACACAGTGGGAGGGCAACACTACAGTCAGCACCGGCCAGTCACAGCACAGAATGGCAGCGCTCCAGGCTTCGAAGAACAGCCTTCGAAGGAGCCACTTCGCCAAGACACCGAGATGCTCCACGAGGACCTCAGCCACAGCAGGAGCGTGCTGGGAGGCCTGTGCGCTCCGAGGTCAGACCCTGAGGGATGTTTCACTTTAGAATCAGAGTGACCAGCAGAGCCCAGCGCCCGCCCCTTGTCTCCTGTCGCCTGCGGTGGGCTGGAGGTCCGTGACTCCGCCTTCCCCAGTCGCAGGGGTGTGACCGAGGACCAGGAGTGAAGAGGAGACTAAAGAGGAGACGAGGGAAGAGTGTTTCTGTGCCTTTAACGTCGGGCAGAGCACGATGGCCCTGAGGACAGCCACCCGGGAGAACACGGGGGGTCCAGGCCCTGCAGCCCCAACGGGACTGACGGACACGCTGCACAAAGACCCTCCTGCACGCACCCTTCCACGCAAAAGGTGCCCTGTTCACAGCACCGCCTGCCATTCCTTGGTTTCCGTCAGATTCACGCGTTCAATGATTAAAGAGATGATGCAGAGAAACTTGAGGATACTCACCAAAAGACGTCACATTTCCTTCTTTGTCAAACTTAGTCTGAAGAGAGAATAAAAAACAGTAAACTGTGATATCCCACCAACACCGACATTCACGTAGGAACCTCCTGCCCCGTCTGGTTCAAGTGGGTTTAGTTAGGGGCTAGAACTCCCTTTCCCTTTGCTGGACACATCTGACCTGGGCTCTGTCATCAGTGAAGCCCCTGGCTGAGCACAACCCAAGAGGAGAGACGACGCAGGAGCAGTGCTCTCCGTACCATCGCGCGCCCGGCACGTACTCACCACAGTGAACACGGGGGCCACGCTGGCGAGCGTGGCCTGCGCGACATCGGCCGTTCTCAGCTGGTGCATCTCACCTGAAAATGGAGAATTCCCTGCAGTCACACGTCTGGCTGTCACACGTGGCCTAGGAACAACTCTCAGAGTCCGTGGTCTGCAGACAAATCTGCTATTTTTAAGACCTTTTTCCTAGAGGAGGAGGAGCACTCATTTGTGCAGTTTCCTACTTGTAGGCGCTTATGTTCGGTTCCGTTTGTTCCGGGAATAGGGAAAGGCCTTTAAGATGGCGTAGGCGGGGCAGAATAACTACGGATTCCAGCCACCCTCTTCTTCCTCATCACCTCAGAGCTGGATGAACAAACGTACAACGCGGTGTTGAGACGAAAAGGCCGATTCTTCTTTTTGCATAATTTAAAGGGCTCTTCATGCTAATGGTATAATAGCCAACGGAACTGGAATGCTGACCTCGGTGAACTGGAATGAAGGCAAATCTACTTGAAAATGAATTTAAACCATGTGACTCGACTGAGTTGAAGGGAGCTGTGAAGTACCACCGGGTCCATTCAGCATCCAACCAAAAGCACTGTTCACAGCCACAGACAGGAGGGGACCGGGCGGAGGTGGGAAAACACTACCCATTATCCCAGGCTTCCAAAGTGGAACGCTCAGCTCGGATCCTGATCCTCACACTTCCACAGTCTACGGTGCACGTGGTTCCTCAGCCCTGAGGTCTGCTGTTACCCTTCCACAAAGTGCAAGTGACATTTTAAGGGTCATCTGAGTGGAGGTCAGTGTCGACCCATACAATCGCATTTCCTACTAACACGTGGATGGAGGGTCCCAGGACGGAAAATCTGCATCTCAGTGTTTGCCCTAAACATCACACAGGCCCTGGCTGCTTTGGCCCAGTGCTCATCGAGTGTGGGCCTGCGGGCCTGGGTTCAAGTCCCGGGCAAGTTCAGGGACCTCAGTTGTAGGTTCCTTAGCCCTAGGAGGGGTTCGAGCAAGAGGCAACCAATCCATACATCTCTCTCCCCCCTCCCACTCTCTCTAGAAATCAATGGAAAAAATACCCTTGGGTGAGAATTAAAAAAGAGACCTCTAACTATTAAATTATAAAGTAAAAAACAACAAAAACATCAGATGGCCTGAACCATCAGACGGTGGCCCCATTCCGAGACCCCAGGGGCCTGGGGAAGGAGGTGGAGACGCTGGGTTATGTGGGGAGCGCTGAGCACACTATCTGCCGGCAGCGCGATATGGGGACGCCTAAGGCTCCAATGCACCGCGCTCTCCGGTTGGTGGAAATGCCGGCGATCGTCGCGCTTTATCGTCCGGTGAAGACACACCAACTCCGGTTCCTCCTTGGGCCACACTTGAAACCAAAGTTCGCCCTTACTCGGCGCAGTTCTCCCTCCAAGTCCCCCCAGGGCGTCCCACCCCTTTCCCGGGACAAACGGAACCGCGCCCGCAGGGAAGAAACTTATCCCAGTATTTAGGCGGCGGAGCCCGGTCTGGGCTTCCCAGCTGTCAGGATGAGTAAGGGCGACGCTGGGTTTAAAACCAAAGGCGCCCCGGGCGGGAGCTCTGCCCGGTGTGCGCCTGGAGGCCGGGCCGAGGTCACCGCGCCGTCCCGGGCTGGGGGCGGGGCCGTACCTGCCAGGCGGGGCCCGCGCGGTGCGCCGGGCGGTGCGGCCCAGCTCCCGCCGAGGGGTCCGGTGGCGCGCGCGGCGGTCAGGCCCCAGGCTGGAGCGCACAGGCCGCGCGGGGGCAGCCGCAGCGCGCGCGGCAGGAGCCGGGGCAGGCCCCGCAGGCATTCCATGGCGCGGCAGCGAGGCGGGGGCGGCAGCGAGCGCCCAGCCCGTCATGCCGGTCGCTGGCGGGTCAGTGGCACTGTGCGACCGCGCGCACGCGCCCGAGGCCCCGCCCTCCCCGCCGCGCACGCGCCCTAGAGACGGCCTGGTCTGCCGCGCACGCGCCCTAGGGCCCGCCCGCCCCGCCGCGCACCTGGGACGGCCCTGCCTGCCGCGCATGTGCGGTGCGCGTGCGCGCTACGCTGACGCCAAACTTCCTGCGCATGCTCGGAAGGGCCGGTGGGCGCGCTCTGTGGCGGGAGGCGGGAGGCGGGAGGCGGGAGGCGGGAGGCGGGAGGCGGGCGGGCGGGCGGGCGGGCTCGGGGCAGGTGGGGCCGTTGACGCGCCGGAGGCCGGCTGAGGAGCCCAGGCGGGACCTGCGGCCCCGGTGCCGGTGACTTCCATGACCTAGCGGGGACCTTCCCGTCCCTGGTTGTGCCGGTGGCGGCCGTGGTGTCAGCCGGCTGGTTCCTCTCCTCCCCGCGGGGCGCCCGGGCCCGGGGCTCAGGTGCACGCGCTCTGCACTGGGAGGAGCTGGTGTCGGGGCGCCCCTCTGTGGTGTGTTGGAGAACTGACCCCCTAAAGCCTGCCGCTCCTCCCGCTCCGCTACGCCAGCCAGAACCCCGTTAGTCCTGCGGTGCCCCGAGTGTGGGTCACTGGGGAGGCGGGGCCCGTGCTCGGCCCTGCCCTCCCATTTATTACCAGTTTCCGAGATAGTGACTCTCCTAAAGGCAATGGATGAGGCTTTATTTTTACTGTTATTGTGAGTTTATTAATATAAACATATTTGGCCCTAACTGGTGTGGCTCAGTGGTAGAGCGTCGGTCTGCGGACTGAAAGGTCCCGGGTTCGATTCCCGTCAAGGGCATGTACCTTGGTTGTGGGCACATCCCTAGTGGGGGGTGTGCAGGAGGCAGCTGATCGATGTTTCTCTCTCATCGACGTTTCTAGCTCTCTATCTCTCTCCCTTCCTCCCTGTAAAAAAAAAAAAATCAAATATATTTTTAAAGAAATATAAACATATTTAGTGTGTTTCAGGAATAGGATATTTATATTTTAGGGTTTTTAAAAAATATATATTTTTTTTATTGATTTCAGAGAGGAAGTGAGAGAGAATCATTGATCGGCTGCATCCTACACTCCCCTCCCCCTGGGGATTGAGCCTGCAACTGGGTTATGTGCCCTTGGCCGGAATCGAACCTGGGACCCTTCAGTCCACAGGCCAATGCTCTATCCACTGAGCCAAACCAGCTAGAGCTAGGTGTTTGTTTTTTGTTTTTGTTTTTGTTTTGTGTGTGTGTGTGTGTGTTGTTTTTTTGGGGGGGGAGTCTGATATAAGACAGGTATTTCTTTTTTAAAATAAAATAAAATAACCGTTTGGGACTAGCCAATGCTTTATTTATTTTAGAGCCTAGCAGGTGTGGCTCCATGGATGGAGCGTTGGCCTGCGGGCTGCAGGGTGATCCTGGGCCCTGGCCTTGGCGCTTCGGGGAGGCAACCAATTGATGTGTCTCTCTCCCATCGATGTTTCTCTCTCTATCTCTCCCTCTCTCACTCTCTACAAATCAATGGAAAAGTATCCTCGGGTGAGGAGTAACAACACAAATTTTCTTTTTTAAAATATTTTTTGTTGATTTCAGAGTGGGGGAGAGAGAGAAACATCAATGATGAGAGAGAATCGTCCGTCTGCCTCCTGCAAGCCCCCCATTGGGGACGCCCTGACCACAGCAGGGTCTGCTGTTTGGATTCCACTAACATCTCAGTCCAATTCTTTCGGCACACCTACCCCCCAGCATCTCTCCCCACCTCCCGCACCCACACCTGGAGGGGGGGCCCGGGTGGAGGGGCAGACTGTGTGTGGGGGGGGTGAGGTCCTGGTGGAGTCCGCAGACACCCGCCTGAGGGCATCCCCTGGAGTGTTGGGGTTCAGCCCCTCGCCCCCAGTTTGCCGGCTCCGTCTTCTGGGCTATTGACGGCGCTGCTGCCTGTGCCTCGGCTTCCCTCGCTGCCCACGGGGAGCGGGTGGTGTCTGCCGCGGCTCCGTGATGCCCGTGACGCAGTGAGCGCCTGGCAGCGGAGGCCTGCCCACCTGTCGGAGGATGACCCGCTGCACCTGCCCGGCCCCCCCGCCAGGCTTCCTGTTCCCGCTCCGGCCTGCAGGAGCCACCTGCGCTCGGAGGCCGCCACCGGGGGGCGCTGCCTCTGCCCGCCGCTCGCCCCGGGTTTGCCCGCTGCGGGCGCTGCGTGGCCCCCAGTCCCGCCCGGAGCGCAGGATGCGGTGCCTCAGCGCCCAGAGCCCGGTGAGTGCCGCCGGGGGCGGGAGGGACCCGGGCAGGGACTCGGGCCCCACCTGCGCGCACCTGCCCCTCTCCGCGGAGAGAGCCCTGCCCCGGGACCCATGGCGGGCACCTCGGACCCCACTCTGGGGGGGCGCTGGCTAGGGCGAAGCTGGCCTAGGGGCGCCCCTCCCCTCCCCTCTCCTCGTGCACCGCCAAGTGGGGGCCCAGCGCCTGGGGGCCTCTCACCCACCCTGCAAGCAGCAGGTGTTTCCAAACTCGCAGAAACGCAGCCAGGGGCACCCACCCAAAGGGAGTTCCTCCCCTGCAGCCTTCCAGCACTTCGGTCCCCCCAGTAGGGCCCTCAGGGTGACCTCGCCCTCTCTGATGCTCATGGCAGGTGTCTGCAGACGGAGCCCCCGGCCGAGAGCGTGGCGGCCTCAGATTTACAGGAAATGCACCGACCCCGCCTGGCTTCTCCTGTTCTTCCTCTTCTGGACCGGTTTGGTGAGCAGGCCGCCGGGGGGTGGGGGGCGACCGGGGTATGGTCCCCACAGAGCTGAGCCCCAACTGTGAACCGCATGCCTAGGCCTTCCCTGGGGAAGGAGGCAGGGGAACCAGCTGAAAGCCGGTGCCTCCGTGAGAGGCAGCTGCCTGTGGGCGGGACACACGCTGTCCGGGAACGCCGCTCAGCTGGTGGCTCCCCCGGACAGCTGCCTGGTGCCTGCAGGGCGTCCTGACATAAGGCCCGTCAGGAGCGGAGGAATGGGGTAGGAGCAGGGGAAACGGGATTGTTCCTTAGCCCGCGCCTTCCAAACTCACTTCCCGGAGGTGCTCACACCATCTCAGCCCCCAGGCGAAATGTCCCTCGGCGCTCGCTGTTCCTTTAACACAGGACCGTCCAAGGGGAGCCTGGACATAGGTGACTCTTAGCGAAGGGAAGCGGCCTGTGCCACGAACCGGCTAGTGAGGTAGCTGGTCCCCCCCCCCCCGCCCCCCCCCCCCCCCCCCCAGTTTCTTTCCGGTTTCCAGGTATGTGCTTGCTGGCAGACCTCCCCAGGCGGTGCCGGCTTGGTCCTGGGCGGTGCCTTTGGAAGCGGGATCTTGAGGCTTGGCGCTGGCCTTGGAGTTGTGGGCAGCAGCAGGGAGAGTTGTGGACAGACCTCGCAGGCCTCACGGGTGAAATCCTCGTCTGTCCGTCCGTTTGTGGCGATGGAGGCCACGTTGGCTGCCTGGCGCGTGATTAACCCACAAAGCCGGCTTTCAGCACTAGCGGGGAGTGCCTGTGCTGAGAAGAGTCAAAGTGGAAGAGATTCTCGAATGCATGCTTCTCTTCCCCATTCCTCTCTCTTTAGAAAAGTGTTCATTGTTGACTTTCCCAGCTGGCTCCTGGGACCGCACGGCTAAAGGATGAAAAGGCTCGGGGGGCCTGTGTGTGCTTCACTGCCCGCTCACTGTGTCCCCTGCGTTAGCAGTCACACCCGGCAGGCAGGATGAGTGAGGATGGATGAGTGAGTGACAGGAGTATGAGACTGCCCCCCGGGGTTCAGGAGGAACCTAGAAGGCAGAGGCAGGTAATCTGTTCGAGATTACGTAAGTAGCTACAGATAAAGACTTCACCCACCCCGGGCAGCCTGAGCCCAGGGCTGGGTATCCTCACGGTTACAAATGCTTCCAGGACGGGCATGTGATGGTCAAGGGCAGCGGTCGGCCACCTCATTAGTCAACAGAGCCAAATAGCAACAGCACAACGACGGAAATTTCTTTGGAGAGCCACATTTTTTAAACTTAAACTTCTTCTAACACCACTTCTTCAAAATAAACTCGTCCAGGCCGCGGTATTTTGTGGAAGAGCCACCCTCAGGGGGCCAAAGAGCCGCACGTGGCTTGAGAGCTGCAGTTTGCCGACCACGGCTAATCTATCACCAATGGATTTCATGTGGCCCGCTCATCCCCTCCTTGGGCTGTAACGTACAAAAGGAGGTGAAAACCCGCCGTTCTCCGGGGCGTTCTCCCAGTTCACTGAGATCCTGCATCCAGGTCTGAACGTTCCTTATTTAACAAAGGCGTGCACCCAGGCTGCCGTGTGAGGACCACGGGCACCTTTACTGCGTCGGCACCCACCTGCTGGTCCACATGTTGATCGCATTGGTGGTTTTGGGGCTGCTCTGTAAATCTTCCCGCTCGGTTTTCCTTTGAAAACAATTATTTTTTTAAAAATTGATTTCAGAAAAGAAGGGAGAGGGAGAGAGGGAGTGAGATAGAAACGCCCACAAGGAGACTCATCCATCGGCTGCCTCCTGCCGCCCCTGCGGGGGATGGAGCCGGCCCCCGGGCCTGTGCCCTGACCGGAATGGAACCGTGACCTCCTGGTTCAGAGGCCAACGCTCAGCCACCGGCCCCGCCACCGGCAGGGTTTCTGTGGATGAAGTGGAAGCCTTTCCGTTGAGAGTCGACGTGAAAAGGCTCCAGGTTTGAGGGGGCTCGGACCGTCTCCCCTGTGACCCCATCGCGCTGCCTGTGGAGACAGCCCCAGAGGCAGGGCTGGCAGGAGGCTCAGGCAGCAGCCAAACACCCCGGGCCCAGGGATCTGAGCTCCCAGTTGTGGGCGCAGCCAGTTTCATTCCCGGGAGAACAGCCGTGCCCTCCGCCACACAGCGCCCTGGGCCCCAGGCACCGCGGGTCCCCTGGGAGCTGCCCTTTGACCGGCAGAGTCACCGTGGCCTTCCTGCCCCTGGATGTGGGGGAGGTGTCTACGTGCTGGGTGGGTGTGTGGGGGGCCGTGCATTCACAGCAGAGCCAGCGGGAGGTTGAGACTTTGGGTCCAATGCTGCTCCTCTCACCACCCTGATGGCTCCGTCTCTCCCCTGCTCACCCCCAGCCCGGCCTGCTGCCCGCACACACACACACACACACACACACACACATACCCCCGTCTCCCACAGACACGCGTCCGCTCCGAGTCTGGGAGGCCCAGGGAGGTGTGGCCCCAGGCGCTGGGTGCCGGTGGGGCGGGGGGCCCCGGGACAGGTGCTGAGCCCGTGCCTGGCCTCCCAGTTGTCAGTGGCGTCCTGTGACCTCAGCGTGGCGCTGGACACGGAAAGGGACAACGTGACCTGCCTGCTGGGCTTGGCCGTGGTGGCCACGGTCCTCACGGTAAGACACGTGGCAGGCTGAAACCGGTTTGGCTCCGTGGTAGAGCGTCGGCCTGCGGACTGAAAGGTCCCGGGTTTGATTCCGGTCAGGGGCATGTATAATACATTGGTTGCAGGCACATCCCCGGTGGGGGGTGTGCAAGAGGCAGCTGATCGATGTTTCTCTCTCATCAACGTTTCTAGCTCTCTATCTCTCTCCCTTCCTCTCTGTAAAAAATCAATAAAAAATATATTATATTAAAAAAAAAAAAGACACGGGGGGGGTGCGGGGGGGGGCAGTCAGGGGCCGGAGCTCTGAATCCAAGTGCCTGCTTTGGCGGGAACGGGGAGAGCCCCGCCTTCACCTCGCGGGCGAGGACACCGGCTGTGAGTTGACCTGAGGTCCACGCAGGGCCACGGCCGGACGTCCCCCACCAGGAGAGCGTCCTCCTCCCCCGTCCCGCCCTCCCTCCCAGGCTGCCCTTGCTGTGCTCCAGCGGCACCAGGCCCCCGATTCCAGTGCGAGGCGGCCGTAGGGCGGGCGCTGCGGGCACCGTGTCCCGCGGAGGGCCACGCCTGGGGGCAGTGCGGGGTGCGCAGTGGGCCCTGGAGGGTGTGCGCGGCAGGGGCAGGGCTGCCTGTGCAGGGACAGGCGGGGGCACGTGGCGCATTTAACCCCTTCCTCGCCAGGCCGCCCTGCTGGTGCTGATCTTCACCCTGGGGAGGAGGGTGACGCTGGCGGTGGAGCTCCTGCGGGTCACCAACAAGGCCATCGGCCGCTGCCCCGCTCTGCTGCTCCAGCCGCTGTGGACGGGCGCCCTCCTCCTCCTCTTCTGGGTGCTCCGGGTGGCTGTGCTGCTGAGCCTGGGCACCGCAGGTGAGGGCCGCCGCCCTGTTGGGGGGATGGTGTGCGGGGCCCCGAGCCTCCCGCAGCCAGAGTGCCAGGCCCGGGGCCTGGGAAGCGGGACATTCTTTTAAAAGATGAGAGAGATTCCTGTGAAGCAAGAAGGTGTCTCTGAAGAGATGCTTTCTAGTCGGCGAGAGAGAGGGTGTGAGGGTGGCTTAGGGTGACCGTCCCGCCCAGGCCCATGGCCACTGCCCCCGGGGCTTCTGACACGTGTCGAAGCTGAGCCTGGAGCCAAGTCCTTCCTTAGATCACAGACCGTGGCATCCGGGCCTGGTCCCTAAACTCCCTCCACTTCCTATGGCTGCCTTGTGACACAGCTGAGCAACAAAACAGCTGGTGCTGGCGGGGTTCCTGACTGCAGGGCCTCGGCCGCCCAGGAGAGGGCAGCCATGGGCCGGAGGCAGCCCGCCTGGGTCTTCCCTAGGCTTTCACTGGCAGGAGCCGGAGCAGAGGTCTGCTCCCAGCCCTGGTCCCAGGCACTGGTTTGTCTCACTGGTGGCTGGCGTTTGGCAGTCTGGAGACATTGGGGCTGGCAGGGCTGGAGAGGGGGGCAGGAGGATGCTCCTGGCATGGAATGGGGAGAGGCCTCGGACCCTGCTGAACACCCTGCAATGCACAGGCCTGCCCCCCACCCCCAACACCGGTCAGCGGTCCAAAGTGCCGGTTAGTACGAGAGCGGAGAGCGCCGGCCGGGAGGGAAGGCGGCAAACCGCCCGTGACCACGCAGAGAGCAAGCAGGAGACGCTGCCCGGGACGTCCAAACCCAGGGCGTCCACTGCCAGGATTCCAGGGTTTGAGGCCCGCGCGGGCCTTGACCTGTCACGTTAGCCGCCGCCCCCTGCTGACTGTCCCCGTCCCTGCACCTCGCCGCTTTTATAAAGGCTACACTTTTCGTGACGTGGGCTGCCGTCCCTCGGTCCCACAGCTCGGGGCGGGCTCAGCCTGGAGGCTTGTCTGTCTCACCAAGTGGTGTGGAGGGTAACTGTGGTTTGTTGTGCTCACAGGTGAACGTGTTCAGGATGTTTAGCTTTTGCTTGGAGATCTCAGATGGGAGGGGGGGGCAGTGGGTGGGCGCTTGACACGGTACTGGGCGTTTGTGTTCGCGGATGCCAGAGGCGGGGGAGGAGCTGGGCCCGTGGGGCGGGGCTCCGGCTTGCTGGTGTAAGCGTGTCTGCGTTCTAACCGTAGGAGCGGCCCCAGTCACCGAAGGTGGGCGGGTGGAGTACCAGCCTCTCTGGGGCCTTCGCTACATGTGGGGGTACCACCTCCTGGGCCTCGTCTGGACCAGCGACTTCATCCTCGCCTGCCAGCACATGGCGGTGGCGGGTGCCGTGGCCACCTGCTATTTCCACAGGTAGGTCCAGCCGCTCCTGCTGCTGCTCCAGCTGCTCCAACTGCTTTTGCTGCTCCAGCTGTTCGTTACTCCAGCTGCTCCTGCTGCTCCTGCTGCTGCTGCTGCTCCTGCCCCTGCTGCCCCTGCTTCTCCTGCTCCTCCAGCTCCTCCTCCTGCCCCTGCCGGCTTGCTTGTGTCGTCACATTGTGCGACCCCCAGAAATTTTGCAGTTCGGACACGATCCCTTCAAAGGGACTGGCAAGAGCTAAATGAAGCCAAAACTCTGGGCGCTTATTTGGTGGCGAAAAGAAATGATGTCCCTTCCATCTGCCACAGGTCCAAGCTCTTTCAGACAGAAAACTCAGCAGGAAGCCAGACGGGGAAACAGGCTGCATGGAGGGGGGAGAGTGGAGAGGCGGGGCCTCCTGTGAGTGTCGTTCTCACCAGCTCCGCCCTGGGCCATGGCGCGCTGGGCCCTGTGGACGCACCTCGGGGCCCTGTACAAAATGGGGGGAGTGTGCTTGGAGAACCCGTTCCTTCCTCAGGGAACGGCATGTAGCTATGATGTAAAGTTCCTGTTCACATGGGTGCTAGGGAATGACTTCCTGCCTCCTCGTTCCACACGATGCTTCAGTGTTCACACCCAGGACCTCACGGTGCCTGAGGCTGCACACACCCACGCACCTCACCTCACCTGCCTGGCGACTCTCCACGTGGGGCAATGGCGACACCCGGGGCTAAAGAGGCAGGACAGGGACAGGGACAGGTTGGACGCTGACAGGAAGTTCAGCCCCCGCTGGGCCACCCCTCTGATCCCCGTGAGCAGATGGCAGGCTGCTTCTGGGAAAGAAGGTGGAGGGGGCGGGGCTTGTGTCCTGAGCAGGCACCTCCTGCCCGGAAGCAGCTGTTTTTTTTGTTGTTTTTTTAAAATATATATTTTTATTGATTTCCAAAAGGAAGGGAGAGGGGGAGAGAGAAACATCAATGCTGAGAGAGAATCATGGATCGGCTGCCTCCTGCATGCCCCGCCCTGGAGATGGAGCCTGCAACCCGGGCCTGTGCCCTGATGGGGATCAGACCGTGACCTGGCTCCCAGGTGGACGCTCAGCCAGGGATGCCCGCCGGTTAAGCCTCACTGCCGCCGGGAGAGGACTCCCTGGGAGCCTCGGTGTGACGGCTGAGCGGGAGGGCGGAGGAGGCCGTGTGAGCGGAGTCTGCATCCTCACGGCAGGGCGGGTGTCCGTGGCTGAGGACCAGGGAGCGGCAGGAAGCACAGGCCCGGCGGGGGGAAGCAGGGGTGCCCTCTGTCCTGAGGTGTCCAGAGGCACACAGACTAAAGGGGAGCGTCAGCATTCTTCTTTAAAAGAAAGAAAAATAAAACGAGGACAGGGAGGGATGTGTCAGACGCTCCTGGCCGGGCCGCCCTGTGGCCAGATCCCCGGCTCCCATCAGCCTCCCCCGGGAAGGACGGGAAGGAAGGACGGGAAGGAAGGACGCCGAGTTAAACATTCTGCTCCCGCCTGGAGGGCTGACCGCAGCACGCCCGGCCAACTCCGGAAACCGCGGCCGCGCCCCTTCCTCTGGCAGGCAGGCCCCTCCGAACCTGGCCCGGCAGGGAGACCCTGGAAGCCGCCGGCTCCCTCCAGGCGGAGCAGTGGCTTCTGGGAAGGGCCTGGCCTCGCAGAACCCGCAGAATGAGGAGGGAGGGCCGGGAGGACCGCCAGGCTGGCCGTGGTTTCCCTCGGGCTGGGCTGGGAGCAGGCCCTGCCCCGCTCCTGCCGGTGGAGCTGGCTCTGCGTGCGCGTGCTCGGAGCTGTGTCAGCACACATCCTGTCCCGAAAATGACTCCACGGGGAGCCCCGCAGGGCGGGAGGGGCCCGCTGGGTGTCAGGAGCCCGGGCGCTGCGGAAGCCAGGCTTCCCGCCCTCCCTGGCCGCCGGCCCAGTCCCCGGATCCTAACCTCCCAGCCAGGCGGGCAGAGTTCCCGTGCGATTGTGGCTTGCACACTGTCACAGGGAACGCTCCGAGCATGAAAACGAGGCTACCAGGCGGCTTACAGGAGGGGGTGCAGGGGTGGCTGCTGCAAAGAGGGAGCCAGTGCCGGGTTTCTTTTACCCCGCCCGCCTTTTATTTATTTAATATATTTTTATTGATTTCAGAGAGGAAGGGAGAGGGAGAGAAACATCAATGATGAGAATCATTGATCAGCTGTCTCCTGCATGCCCCACACTGGGGATCGAGCCCATAACCCCAGACTTATGCCCTTGTCCGCAATCGAACCCGGGACCCTTTGGTCCACAGGCTGACACTCTATCCACTGAGCCACACCGGCCAGGGCCCCACCAGTGTTTTAAAGTTTTCTGTTCTATGTTTAGGGCATTAAGTGCCACCAACAGGAGAAATCTTAGCCCAGGAAATGCTCTTCCCCCAGTGGCTGAGGTGTGGGGACCTCACTGCTGGGCACCCGCATATCCATGTTGGGCACCCGCATATCCGGGCCGGGCCCCCACTCCGGGCCCCCACTCCGGGCCGGGCCCCCCACTCCGGGCCCCCACTCCGGGCCCCCCACTCTGGGCCCCCCACTCCGGGCCGGGCCCCCCACTCCGGGCCCCCACTCCGGGCCGGGCCACCCCACTCCGGGCCGGGCCCCCCACTCCCGGCCCCCACTCCGGGCCGGGCCCCCCACTCCGGGCCGGTCCCCCACTCCGGGCCCCCACTCCGGGCCGGGCCCCCCACTCCGGGCCGGTCCCCCACTCCGGGCCCCCACTCCGGGCCGGGCCCCCACTCCGGGCCCCCACTCCGGGCCGGGCCCCCGACTCCGGGCCCCCCACTCCGGGCCGGTCCCCCACTCCGGGCCCCCACTCCGGGCTGGACCCCCCACTCCAGGCCGAGCCCCCCACTCCGGGCCCCCCACTCCGGGCCCCCACTCCGGGCCGGGCCCCCTTCGGACGGCACCGCCGATGCCATCCCGTCGGCACAGGTGGTGGCTCCCCTCAGGCCGGGGTGAACGCTGTCCTCTCCTCCTGCCCCAGGAACGCACGGGACCCGCCCGACCGCCCCTCCTGTCGCCTCTCTCCACCCTCCTCTGCTACCACCGGGCACAGAGGCCAAAGGGTCGCCTTTGCTCACCTTGAGCACCGCAGGGCGGGCTCCACACGCCGCCCTCACCTTCATCTCCAGCGCCCTCAGGGCAAGGTGAGGCCAAGGGCCGCGGAGGCCCCGAGGTCACGGCCATCAGCAACCCCCTCCCCGCAAACTCCGTCCAGCCCAGCGGCTGTTTGTGCTTTCCCACTCCACAGCCGGACGGCGGGGGGCGGGAGGAGGAGTTCCCAGTGGGCGCCTGCCTTCTGGTTTACACGCTGAGCAAACGAGGAATTCGAGGAAAATTTAAACCATTTTTTTTTTAGGACATTTAGATGCTTTTTTTTTTTTTTAAGGGAGAAAAATATGATACAAGGTTAGGACAGTCTATGTTTGTGTTTTAAGGCTGAAGTATTTCCTGCCTTTTGCGTTTCCTAAAGGTAGCTGTGGGGAGTCACTGGTGTGTGTGTGTGTGTGAGGGGGGGCGGGAGAAGGAGGGAGAGAGGGAGAGGGAAAGGGAGAGAGTGGGCGGGAGGGAGAGCGAGCCAGCGCTCTTGAGAGTGAGAAATGGGCGAGATGACCCCAATCTCAGCTCCAGAGCCCAGCACTGTGGGCCTTTGTGCGGGCGGCTCCCTGGCGGCCTTCCCCTGCCATTTGGTTATGAATGGCGGTGGAACCGGAGCCCCAGAGGACAGCTGGGCGCAGGCTGTTCCTGGCCAAGGGCAGGCAGGTGGGACTTTCCCAGCACTGCCCCCCCTACCCCAGCCCCCCCGCCCCTCCCCCCCCACCCCAGCCAGGGGCAGAGTTCACCCCTGACTCCAGCCCTGGGTCTGCCTCCTGTGCTCTCAGGCCAAGGGCCGCCGAGGGCCCCGAGGTCATTGCCACAGGCCCCCGCCCCCCCCCTGCAGACTCCGTCCAGCGGCTGTTTGTGCTTTCCCACTCCACAGCGGGGAGGCGGGGGGGTGGGGGGGGGAGGAGTTCCACCCTGTGCGCACAGGCGGCCGCCCCCGTGTCCGAGTGTGAAAGTCCACGCTCGGGCGTGCGCTGGCGCCAGCGGGGGGCCGGGGGGACCCCTCAGGCTGCCCAGGCTCCTGTCGGAGTGCAGGCGGCGTAGCCACCGGGTCCCCATGACCCTGTGTTTGGCTGGGAGGTGCTGCTCCGTGAGCACTGTGTGTGCCCGCTTTAAAAAGGAGCTTTTTTTTTTAGGGGAAATAAAGTCTATAGTGAGACTTTCAGGGCCGAATTTCAAGGGATAAAAAGATGCACACATTTTGGGAATTAAAGGGGCATTTCCACCTCCAGGTGGAATCCAGCTGCTCTGGCTCCTGCGTTTGAAACTTACCGTTCGATGTCAGGGGCCTTGGAGGAGGGTGTCTAGAACAGAATAGACAGCCCTGTGTGTGTTTATGGTGGGAGGAACCTCCTTCCATCCTGCTGGCTGATCTAAAGAGAACAGACATGAGCCCGGCCGGCGTGGCTCAGTGCTGAGCATCGACCTGGGAGCCAGGAGGTCAGGGTTCGATTCCCCATCAGGGCACAGGCCTGGGTTGTGGGCTCCATCCCAGTGTGGGGAGTGCAGGAGGCAGCTGATTCATGATTCTCATCATTGATGTTTCTCTCTCTCCCTTTCCCTTTCTCTCTGATATCAATTAAAAAATACTAAAAAAATTTTTTTTAAATGTAAAAAAAAAAAAGACATGAGACGGGCTCACAGGAGAAAAGGGCCCATTTAATGACACGTGTGTGTATGGGAGCGCCACGCACACTTGACACTCAGACAGGAAGGAGGTGAGGGGCGAGGGCCTCCTGAGCTGGGCGGAGGCCGCTGCCAGCCAGCGCCGGGAGCAGATGCTCGGTGATTAGCCGTCTGCCCTGCATACGAACAGGCCGGAGGGCATGCTTTCTGGGGCCACTCTGTGGACAAGGCCCTCCTCCAAACTCTTCCGGGAGAGGAAGCTTCTGTGAACCCGCAGTCTTCCTGCTGTCGGCTCTGAAATGTTCACTGCCGAAGGGCGGTGCCGGGAGCCTGTGCCGCGTGTGTGTGTGTGTGTGTGTGTGTGTGTGTGTGTGTAGAGACGGAGATAGAGATGTAGACAGAGACATATCGATGTGTATTTGTATGTGTGTGTATTTGTATGTGTGCATGTGTGTGTGTGTGTGTAGAGTAGAGATAGAGATGTAGACAGAGACATATCGATGTGTATTTGTGTGTGTGTGTGTGTGTGTGTGATCATGAGTGAGTGAGTGAGTGAGTGAGCAGTCGGCACCTCGCCCGCTCCTGGTGCTGCGGCACCTCACGCTCTGGGGCAGCGCGGCCCTCGGGGTAAAGAAGTCAGCGAGTCCCTGGGGCGGAGGTCGGAAAGGTCACGTACCAGCCCAGCCCCGTGGGCCGAGGCGCCTGCTGGGAAACGTCCCGCCCGGGCTCAGGAGGGCGTGCTCCTCGGCCTCGCGGGCTGCCCTGGTGGCCTTCGGGTAAACGGCACACCCACAGCAGCCGGGCTGAGCGGCTCCAGGCACGGCTCCCGCCAGTGAGTCGCGAGGGGAGGCCGAGCCGGGCTGTGTCAGCTTCTCAGGAAACCTCGGGCCCGGACGCTGCACCGTCGCCTCCTCTGAGGCTCTGTAATTGTTCACGGCCTGACACACCAGTCCAGGGGCATCTCCTGGACAAACTTCTCTTAACACGCAGCCCTGCACGTCACTGTCGGATCCATTTCCCCAAAGAGTTAGACTTGGGACCTTGTTTTCATGCGACCACATGACTGGCGTCTGCAATGCATACTTTGTTTTACTGACTTTGGGGCGTGAATTTGTCACGACGCTGAGTTTCTCCCTGGAGACACTGGGAGGGAGGCGAAGGGAGAGAGGTTTTTATGCCAAGTAGGGGCTAGAGTTTCCCTCTGATAGTACAGAGGTGCGAACCCTCTTCCCCTCCTGTTGAGGGTGACAGTGGTATAACAGGTGAGCCCAGGAGGGAGACACTTGGGTCATCAGGAATCTATATAAAAGCCCAGCAATTAAACAGAATGACTGGTTGGCCAGTCACTATGACATGCACTGATCACCAGGAGGCAGACAATCAACACAGGAGCTGCTTGGCTGACCAGGATGAGCGGCACTCCCACAGCAGGCAGTCTCCGCAGGCCACATCCCCTAACCCATCCCGTGGAGCCCGGTCCCGTGGAGCCCGGTCCCGTGGAGCCCGATCCCGTGGAGTCCGGTCCCGTGGAGCCCGGTCCGTGGAGCCCGGTCCCGTGGAGCCCGGTCCGTGGAGCCCGATCCCGTGGAGCCCGGTCCCGTGGAGCCCGGTCCCGTGGAGCCCGGTCCCGTGGAGTCTGGTCCCGTGGAGCCCGGTCCCGTGGAGCCCGGTCCCGTGGAGTCTGGTCCCGTGGAGCCCGGTCCCGTGGAGCCCGGTCCCGTGGAGCCCGGTCCCGTGGAGCCCGGTCCCGTGGAGTCCGGTCCCGAGGAGTATGATCCCGTGGAGCCCGGTCCCGTGGAGTCTGGTCCCGTGGAGCCCGGTCCCGTGGAGTCCGGTCCCGAGGAGTATGATCCCGTGGAGCCCGGTCCCGTGGAGCCCGGTCCCGTGGAGTCCGGTCCCGTGGAGTCTGATCCCGTGGAGCCCGGTCCCGTGGAGTCTGATCCCGTGGAGTCCGGTCCCGTGGAGCCCGGTCCCGTGGAGTCTGATCCTGTGGAGCCCGGTCCCGTGGAGTCTGACAGTGGTGCTGATGCAGGAAGCCTCGTTACCAACAAAAAGGGTCACTGCCAGCGACCAATGCAAACAGGGTGCGTGGCCCATCAGAAACCGGAAGTGCTCTCCCTGGAGACCAAGGAGAGGTGGGCTCTTGTAGAGTATGTTCCTGGCCTGGTCCCTGATTGGTCCGTTTCTATGCAAATGAGGGATCCAGATTGGCATGGGCTGAGGGGCCAGATTTGTGCCTCCTGGTTGGGCACAGCTGGGCGGCTGAGGGGTAAGGGATGGAGAAAGCAGAGAAGGAGGAGGAAGAAAAAGAGAACTGACGGGAATCTGGACGGGGTGAGGGCACCTGCCATCGGGATGAACTGCTGGAAAGTAGCGGAAGACCTCGGGGTCCGGGGATGCTGGGAAATGGTGGTCAGCGCTGCGTCCGCCCGGCTTGGCAGGAAAGTGAGCTGAGCCGGGGGCCAGGAATTTGGCCTTTTGGAAAGTTTCCTGGCACCGAGCGAGCTCCGGGGAAGATCGCCCTGGAAACCAGAGTGAAAAGAGCAGGGGCCGCGTTGTGTTTCTTGTTTTGTGCGGCAGGCGCTGGGCGGTGCTGAGGGCAGCCACTTCTCACCACCAGAGCCAGGCACTCCTCTTCTGCTTTTTAATTGATGAGAGAGAGGAGAGAGAGAGAGAGAGAGAGAGAGAGAGAGAGAGAGAGAGAGAGAGAGAGAGAGAGGAGAGAGAGAGAGAGAGAGGAAGAGGGAGAGAGAGAGGGGGGAAGAGAGAGGAAGAGGGAGAGAAGAGAGAGAGAGAGAGGAAGAGAGAGAGACAGAACACCAGTGCACCAACATTGGCTGGCTGCCCCCTGCACACCCCCGACGGGATCGAGCCTGAAACCGGCCTGCGCCCTGACCGGGACCTCCTGGCTCAGGTCCACGCCCTCCCTGAGCCGCGCGGCCGAGCCCAGACCGTCTTCCTGAGGGAACACCCAGGAGCCGCCGCGGCTCACAGCCTCCCTGCCCCCTGGTCCGGGGAGGAGGCCGAGGCCGCACTCGGCCCCTCGCAGGGGGGAGGGGGCAGGATCAATCCCGGACGGTGTCTCCCTGGAGGGTGACAGGTGCGCCTCGCACCTCTGCCCGCCCGGCCGCCGCTCAGCCGTGCCCTGTCCGACCTTTGCACTCGGGCAGGACGGGGAGGGGGCGCCGAGCAGCAGAGACTCCGGAGCAGGGCCGGGCCCCTGGGCTCTCTCCCTGGGCGCACCCCTCGCTCGGGGACACGGGCTGCTGTCCGCAGCCGTGCTGGCGGGGAAACCCCCGGGGGCGGGGGGAGGCACAGGACATTCCCCGGCTCCGAGGGGCCTGGGCGCCCAGAGCAGCCCCGGCTCCCGTGCCCTCAGGGTGCCGCCCCGGTTTCCGTGGAGACGGCCGGCGGCTGCCAGGACGCGGCGCCAGGGGGAGGCCCCTCCCCGCGCCTCTCGCCGCTCCCCGGACGCCCTGAGCGCTCTGCCTCTGACCACGGGAGCCGCGCTCCGGCCCTCCGCCCTCCGGAGCCTCAGGGCGGCCCCAGGGGCGGCGTGGGGAGGGGACCCACCAGGGCCGTGCTGTTCGCTGCGCCTCACGTGGGTCTGTCCTCGAGCCTCCGTGGGAGCCCTGCCCCCCACGGGGTCCCCCCCACATCCGTGGCCAGGCTCCCGGTGTTCTCTGTGCCGGGACGTGGCCCATCCCACGGCCTGCCCAGCGGCTCCCCTCCCCTCCGCTCCTATGGCAACAGGGCCTCCCAGGGAAGGGGACCGGGGGCGGGGGGGTGGGGGGGTGGCCATGCTCAGGGGGCTCCACTCTTTGGGTAACAGACGTGCCCGGGAGGCGGCCTGGTCCCAGGGCCTCCGGGGGCCGCTCCGGGGGCCGCGGCGGCTCCGGGGACACGGCCCCCCTTCCGGGCGCAGCTGGTGCTCACGCTGAGAGCGGCGCCCGTGTGCGGCGCCAGAGGAGCACACACGTGTGCTGGGTGGCGGGCGGCGAGGCGTGTTCCCGGGCAGCTAATCCCCAGCAGCTGTCCTCGCGCCGCAGGAATGGGGACACCTGCTCGTCTGGCCCCACACGGGGCGGGGGCCGGGGGCGGGGGCCGGGGGCGGGCGGGGGGTGTCTCCTGCCGCTCCGCCTGCTGGGCCGCCCCGGGTCCTCGGGCCGCCCCCGGGTCCTCAGCACCTCTCCGCCCGCCCCGCGCCCTCCTCCGTGGGGGTCAGGGCGGGAGTGCTGGGACCCCTGGGAGGGCGGCGGGCCCCGCGCTGCCTGGTGTGGCGTTTCCTGGATCTGCAGGAGGCGGGCACGGCTGTGCACCCCATCCATGCCCCAGCACCGCCCCCTTTGCCGGTGGGACCCCACTTCCCCGTCACTGACCATGTGCTGTGGCTCTGGGGGAGGGTGTTGGAGGCGGGGACCCCTGGGGGTGGCCCGGGAGCCAGCCCTGCCCTCCGGCCCTCCGTCCGGGTGCGGGCAGAGCTGCGCCTCTCCCGGGGTCAGAGGCCGTGGGCGAGGCCGTGACTGACGCCGGGAGACACAGCTCCCCGCCCGGCGCCTCGCGGGCTGTTTGACGGGGACTCGGCCATCGTGGTCCCTCCCAGGAAAGGTGCTGCGGTCACAGGGGAAGGCGCTTCGGAAACAGGGCCCGAGAAACCCCCTCATGTGAACGCACACGCATGCACACACACGCATGCACACACACGCACACGCACACACGCTCTCTTTGACTCAGGGACCCCACTTCTGGAAGCTGATCTTAAAGAAAGGCTCCAAAGGCAGGAAGTGGAGGTGAGCGCTGTGTGCTCTGTATGAAAGGAAAGCACTGAGGTATCCTGCCAGCCGCACAGGAATGGCATTGGCTGCAGGTTAATGGCCGTGGGCGTGGGCGTGGACGTGTGTAGGCGCTCAGCTCCCTCCAGGGTCTGCTCTGTGTCCCGCCCTCAGACTGCAGTGCTTTACGCAGCTCTTCACCCCCCTCCTGAGTGCGTTTTAAAGACGTACTTTCACTGATGTCAGAGAGGAACGGAGGGGGGAGAGAGAAGCATCAGTGATGAGAGAGGATCATGGACCGGCTGGGGATGGAGCCCGCAACCCGGGCCTGTGCCCTGACCGGGAATCGAACCCTGACCTCCTGGCTCCTAGGTGGATGCTCAGCCCCGGAGCCACGCCGGCTGCCCGATGTGTCCGGAGTGCCATGCTCCAGCCACCCCACTGACCCCGAGTGCACCCCCGGCAGAGGCCTTCACACCAGACGCACAGGGCAGGGAGCACTGGGCTGGTCTCTGCAGGCGCTCCTGCCGATGCCTGCGTCCTGAGACCAGGCCCAGGCGCGCCCTCTGTCTGACCGCCTCTGTCCTTCCAGAGCACGTTCGCCGCCCCGGCCATCAACGGGACCGCACTCTGCACGTCCGCGGAGGACGCACACCGGCTCCTGTCCCGGGACTCCAGTCGGTTCACTTCGGCCGGCCGCTTCGGGGACTTTGTTGTCTTCCTGGGCAAGGTGAGGCCTCGCCCCAAAACAGTACACCCGATGAGGCGTCACCCCAAAACAGTACACCCGGTGAGGCGTCACCCCAAACACTACACCCGGTGAGGCGTCACCCCAAAACAGTACACCCGGTGAGGCGTCACCCCAAACAGTACACCCGGTGAGGCGTCGCCCCAAACACTACACCCGGTGAGGCGTCACCCCAAACAGTACACCCGGTGAGGCCTCGCCCCAAAACACTACACCCGGTGAGGCGTCACCCCAAAACAGTACACCCGGTGAGGCGTCGCCCCAAACAGTACACCCGGTGAGGCGTCACCCCAAAACAGTACACCCGGTGAGGCGTCACCCCAAACAGTACACCCGCTGAGGCGTCGCCCCAAACCGTACACCCGGTGAGGCGTCGCCCCAAACAGTACACCCGGTGAGGCGTCACCCCAAAACACTACACCCGGTGAGGCGTCACCCCAAACAGTACACCCGGTGAGGCGTCACCCCAAACAGTACACCCGGTGAGGCGTCACCCCAAACAGTACACCCGGTGAGGCGTCGCCCCAAACACTACACCCGGTGAGGCGTCACCCCAAACAGTACACCCGGTGAGGCCTCGCCCCAAAACACTACACCCGGTGAGGCGTCACCCCAAAACAGTACACCCGGTGAGGCGTCGCCCCAAACAGTACACCCGCTGAGGCGTCGCCCCAAACAGTACACCCGGTGAGGCGTCGCCCCAAACTGTACACCCGGCACGGGGTGGCCCGGAGCCAGCCCTGGCGGCTGGGCACAGGAGCGCGTCTCCTGCTGCTCCCTCGGGTGGACGCTGCGCCTCTGCATTGGACCCCCAGCCAGGGGCCCGAACACGGCCCTGGGCTCCCTGTGGGGACGGCGGCTCCTCCCGCAGCAGGTCCAGCCTCCGGGCGGGCTGCACCCTGACCCACGGCCCTGGCTGCGGGGGGGAAGGTGGGGTGTGCGTCCCTGTGAGAGCTGTGGGTGCCGAGGGCTCGGTCCGGCCTCTCTGACGTTCAGGGGTTTAGCACTGATCTCTCTCTGCATTGCCGTCCCGTGAGCTGTGGTCAGTGACACGCCACAACACGCCATGACACGCCTGGGCCTGGCAGCCGGGCGTGACTCACGCACACGTTGGGCTCTGCCAGGCCGAGAGGCTCCGTGTGACGGTCCCTGCGGAAGCACAGCTGTGACCTGTGACCTATGACCCTGTGTGTGCTAAGGGCAGTGTGCCGGCTCAGGGGATGTTGCCACCATTTGCAAGGGGCCTTGTCGAGGTTTATTTCGAGGGCGCAGTGCGGGGCGAGCGTGAGGTCTCAGGGCCCCAGGCACACGCGGACGGGGCACCGACAGGGGGGACGCACAGCCCTCTCCCTCCCCGGCGGCTGCTTCCCTGTCACAGCTCCATGTCCTCGTCCCCTCCCTGTCCCCGCATGCCGACGTGCAGTCCTCCCTCCACGCAGTCCCACACGCACACGCATGGGCACCCACAGTCCCACACGCACACGGTCCCACACGCAGGCGCACACGTGTGGAGCTGCGGGAACGGACGCGCTCTCCGAAGCGCTCCGCGGTTCTAGGCTGTGAGCCGCCCCCGCCCCGGCAGGTGCTGGTGGCGTGTCTGACCGTGTTCGCGGGGCTGATGGCCTTCAACTACCACCGCGCCCTGCAGGCGTGGGCCGTGCCGCTGCTCCTGGCCGCCGCCCTCGCCCCCCTGGTGGCGCACAGCGTCCTGTCCGTGCTCCAGGCCGCGCAGGGCGCCCTGCTCCTGTGCCTGGCCGCTGACCTGCACACGAACGACGGCTCGCCCGCCAGGCCCTGCTTCATGGCCCGGCCGCTCCATCGGCACGCTCGGGGCTGGGGACGGCGGCCTGTGTCTCCTCTGTCCCCCTCTCTGGGCTCCTCCCACCCGGCCTGCCTGTGGAGACCCCCCCGAGGAGCGAGGCCGCACACGGACACTGACCGTGGCCCTGGCTGCGAGGGGGAGCCCCGTGGGTGCGAACGGCTCTCCCGCGTCCCGGGGTTCAGCAGTTGATCTTTTCCCAAAGCATTTTGCACCCCGAGCCCTGCCCCCCGCCCCCGTCAGTTAGGGGCCATCACTGCAGGGAAGGCCCCCCTGGCCGGGTGGGGGCAGGACTGCCATCGCGGGCCCTTTGCTGACCGGGCGCGGCCGCCGCCGCCTGAAATAGCCGGCAGCTGCCGGTCCGCAGCAGCTGCCCCGCCCTCCACCCGCAGCCGGGCCCGGCCTCGGAGCAGCTGGGCCTCTCATCCCGCCCGCTGTGGGGCGAGTGGCGTCCGCACAGTCCTCTTCCGTCTGCTGGCCCCGGGCAGCGTGTCCCGCCTCCTGCACACAAACGCCGGCCTCCGTCACGTGTCCTCAGTCACATGTTCTCAGCCACGTGTCCTCAGGCTCGGGAGATGCCTCTGCGGACGGGCAGGTCTTCTTGCTCTGAGTCCCACTTTTCAGATTTAAAGCCTCTTGGAAATCTCTCTCTCCCCCAGTATTCTAGTTCATAGGGGAAACTTTTTAAGAAGACTTTGAGGGGGAGGGAGGGAGAGGGAGGGAGGAAGAAGCGGGGGGAGGGAGGGAGGAAGACCTGCATCGACTGCCCCTGCCCCTCCCTCGGGGATGGAGCCCGGTCCCAGGCGCCTGCCGCGACAGGAGGTGGGACCCGTGGGCCTTCCGTGCCGGCCGATGCCCAGCACCTGAGCCGCAGGGCCGGCGGGGACAGGGCGACGGGGCCGGGCGGGTGCCCAGCGCGGCCCTCATGGCCCGGCCCCTCCTGCAGAGCTTGTGGAGAGGATGGACCGGCCGCTCCGCGGGCGCCAGGAGGGGGCGGGACTCGGGCCCGCGGCCCGCTCGGCCCGGAGGTACCGGGAGGGGCCGCCGCCCGGTAGACGCAGGCCCCCCTCCCGCGTGGTCCTTGCCGCCGGGACACCGGCCTCTCCACTCGCTGGGCCGAGACCCTCTAGGACCGGGATCACGGCCTCCGCTCAGGTGCACAGTCACACACGGTCACACACAATATCACACAGTCTCACAGGTCACACATGGCCTCACACGGTCACACACGGCCTCACACAGTCACACACGGTCACACATGATCTCACACATGGTCACACACAGTTACACAGCCACACACGGTCACACATGGCCTCACACGACCACATACAGTCACACACAGTCACACACGGTCACACACGGTCACACATGGTCACACACAGTCACACACGGTCACACAAGGTCACACACGGTCACACACGGTCACACACGGTCCCACACGGTCACACACACTCCCACACGGCCGCACACAGTCACACGCACTCCGGCAGCAGCCAGGGCACCGGTGGAAGCCGCCTGCCCGCCCAGAGCAGCCCCACCTCCGCCCCCGGACCGTCCGGGAGCCGCTCCGCTGCCGCAGCCGCGTGCCGTTCTCACACGTGACCGAGGCCACGTCTCCCCGGAGCCGCCCCGCCGGCCGGGCTGGTGCCCCGGCCTCGCTCACAGTCACCGACGTCTGGCCAGCCCCTCGGGAGCCGGGCTGCGCCGGCACAGAGGGGGCCGCCTCTCCCTCTGCAGCTTCCAACAGGCGGGAACGCGCCGCTGAGGGCGCCCCGGCCGGTGCGGGTGCGGGCGGTTGTCTCCGGTCCTGGGGCCGCCGGCTCCCCGCTCGGCCAGCGCAGACGCCCCTCTCCAAGCGCACCGCGGCCCCCGGGAGACAGCCCGTGTCCCCGGGTCTGTGCGCGCATAGCCCACTCAGCCCCCGGCCCTCTCCGGTCTCCAGGGAAGGCTGGGGTGTGCTGACACTTCATATTATAAACCCGTTAGTTATCGAAGGTCCTGCCCGACCCGGTGTTTCCTTTCTAAAACGCCTGTGTTCCTTAGAGATGAGAAACCAGGAGATTGTCGTAAAGTAACGGCATTGTAAGTGATTTTAAAATTATTCATCTGGCCTGGCTGGTGTGGCTCAGTGGACAGCGTGTCGGCCTGTGGGCAGAAGGGTGCGGGGTTCGATTCCAGTCAAAGGCGCGGGCCCAGGTTGCAGGCTCCATCCCCAGCAGGGGGCGTGCACGAGGCAGCCGACCATTGATTCTCTCTCATCGTTGGTGTTCCTATCTTTCTCTCACTCTCCCTTCCTCTCTGAAATAAAGAAACCTATATAAAAAATATAAAATAAAAATTCACCTGAACATTTTGTGGCTTTATTCCTACGCCGTGTATTTTTTAAATTTGTTTTCCAGTTACAGTTGACGTACAGTATTCCATAGTTTCAGGGGTACTGCGTGGGGGTTAGACTCTCATGTAATTGAGAAGGGATCGCCCGGTAAGTCCAGCCTCAGCCCCCCCCCCCCCCAATCACTCACCGTGAGTGATTGGGTTCTCTGCACCTATGAGTTTGTTCTCTGCACCCATGAGCTTGTTCTCTGCACCCATGAGCTTGTGTCTGTTTTGCTCTTTTCTGTCACGTTTTACCCCCCACGTGTAAGCGATACGTGCGGTGCTGGTCTTTCCCCGTCTGACTGAGTCCACGTCCCACTATGCCCTCCAGGCCCCGCCCTGTGGTCACCGGCGGGAAGTTCCTGCTCTTTCCGGGAGTGACGTCCGCCATGTTTGTGCTCCGGCTGTTTTATCCGCCGTGTTCGTGCTCCGGCTGTTTTATCCGCCGTGTTCGTGCTCCGGCTGTTTTATCCAGGCGTCTGTCTGCCCTGAGCACCCAGGCCTCCCTGTCGCCACTGCTGGGCATCCCGCGGCCGTGAACGTGGGGAGTGTTTTGGTTTCCTTCGGTCATGTTCCAGAAGTGGGATTGCTAGGTCACACGGCAGCTCTATTTTTAATTTTCTGAGGAATCTCTATTCTGCTTCCCACGGCGGCCGCACGGCCTGACCCCCGGCCGCCACGGGGCCGCCCCCACGCCCTCGCCCCACTGTGTGAGGCTCACGCCGGCTGCCGGCGGAGGTGGTGCTGCGTGCGGTTCTGATCGGAGTCTCCCGTCGGCCGGAGACGGGGAGCATCTTTCCGAGTCCGCTGGCCCTCGGCATGTCCTCTCGGGAGACGTGTCTGCCGGGTCCTCAGCCCCTTTCGAACTGCATTGTGTGCGTTTGTTTTTATGTTGAGCTCTGTGAGCTCTGGATACGTTTGGATATTGAGCCACCATCGGGCGTACCGTTTGCCAATATCTCCTCCCACTCAGTCCGTGGCCTTTTGTTTCATTAATGGTTTTCTTCGTCATGCGGAAGCTTTTTAATTCGATGGTCTCATTTGTGTGTTTTCCATGTTTCTTTGCCCATATAAAATGTGGTTTGTGCTGAAACCGGTTTGGCTCAGTGGATAGAGCGTCGGCCTGCGGACTGAAAGGTCCTGGGTTCGATTCCGGTCAAGGGCATGTACGTTGGTTGCGGGCACATCCCCAGTAGGGGGTGTGCAGGAGGCAGCTGGTCGATGTTCCTCTCTCATCGATATTTCTAGCTCTCACTCTCCCCCTTCCTCTCTGTAAAAAAAATAAATAAATAAAATAAAAAATCAATAAAATATATATTTTTAAAAAATGTGGTTTGTCATATGTGGCCCTTATGATGTTGAAGGGTGACCCCTCTGCCCTCACTTTGCTGAGAGCGTTGATCCTAACGGGTGATGATTTCGCCACCTGCTGTCTCCGCCCCCAGCGATAGGACCGTAGAATGCGTACCCGTCACGTTATTCACGTGGTGTACCGCGTTCACGGGTTTCTGAATGTGGAATCAGCTTGTATCTCGTGCGTAAGCCCCTCTCGGTCCGGCGTATTCTCTGAATGTGCTGCTGGGTTTGGTTGGCTGCTGTTTCTTGGAGGGTTTGCACCTGTGTTCATAGCAGGGACGCTGGCACGCAGCTGTATTGCGTTGTGGTCTCTGCCGAGTCCCTCACCCTCATTCCCCAGCCGGATAGAGACCTTGTGAAATGAATTTGGGGTGTCCCCTCCTCTTCAGTGTTTTGGGAAGAGTTTGAGGACGATGTTCCTGGAAGGTTTGGTAGAATTCACCGGCGAAGACATCTGCTTTGCTGCTTTTATTTTTTATTCCTGATGTGGTCTGTTCAGTTTTCTGTTCCTCCTTGAGCCAGCCTTGGGAGATGGTGTGTATGTTTCTAGGAATTGGTCCCTTTGTTCTAGGCGGTCCAGTGTGTGGGCGTATAGCTGTTTGTAATATTTTCTTTTCTTTAAAAAAAATATATATTTTATTGATTTTTTACAGAGAGGAAGGGAGAGAGATAGAGAGCTAGAAACGTCGATGAGAGAGAAACATCGACCAGTTGCCTCTTGCACATCTCCTACCGGGGATGTGCCCGCAACCAAGGTACATGCCCTTGACCGGAATCGAACCCTGGACCTTTCAGTCCGCAGACCGATGCTCTACCACTGAGCCAAACCGGCTTCGGCTGTTTGTAATATTTTCTTATAATCCTTGGTATTTCTGTCACTTCTCTGTCTTTTCTGATTTTTTTTTTTTTTGGGGGGGGGGTCTCTCTTTTTTCTTGATGTGTCTGGCTAAAGATTTACCAATTTTGTCTTTTCATAGAACCAGCTCTTGGTTTTATTTACCTTCTTAATTTCTTATCATTCATTGTATTTACGCAGGATGTTTCTACTTCAGTCTTTGCACTTTAATTGCTTGATTCCCTACTCTTACCAGGTGTCTGCCCTTGTGAGGTTTCTTCCCGTTCCTATATTTTCTTACTCATATATTTTTATCTTTTTTTCCTTCTACCTAAACCAGCTCCTTTAACACGTTTTGTAACGCTTGTTGGTGGTGACGAACGCCGTTAGCCTTTTCGCATCTTGGAAACGCTCTCCCTTTCGGTTCTCAGTTCTGACCTCGCCGGGCAACCCCGGCTGCAGGCCCTTGCTGCTCAGCACCGGGAAGGCCACAGGCCAGTTCCTTCTGGCTGCGATGTTCCCGCCGAGGAACAGCTGACAGGTAAGTGACGGTTTGCTTTTGCTTCAGCCTTCGGCGTTTTGAACACGCTGTGTCTTGGTGTGGCCTCTGGTTCCATCTCGTTTGAGACTCTGTGCTCCCTGGACTTGTAAGTCTATTTCCTTTGCCAGGTTAGGGAAGTTTTCAGTCGTTATTTCTTTAAATAGGTTTCAATCCTTTCCTCTCTCTCTCTTCTCCTCTGGGACCCCTATGTTGTGAAAGTTGTTATGCTTGATGTCCCACAGGTCCCTTAAACTATCCTCTTTTTAAAATATATATTTATTGATTTTGGAGAGGAAGGGAGAGGGAGAGAGAAACATCAATGATGAGAATCATGGATCGGCTGCCTCCTGCATACCCCCAACTGAGGGTCGAGCTGACAGCCTGGGCAAATGCCATAGACTTAAACCCGGGACCCTTTGGTCTGCAAGGCTGATGCTCTATCCACTCAGCCAACCCGGCCAGGGCAAACTATTCTCTTAAAAAAAATTCTCTTTTCCTTTGCTGCTCTGAATGGATGTCAGCTGCTACCCATCTTCTGGGTCACTAATTCCATCCTCTGCTTCAGCTGATCTGCTGTTGATTCCCTCTCATCTCAGCTACTGCAATTCTTTAGTTCTGGTTGGTTCTTTTTAATAGCTCCTATCTCTTTGTTGAAATTCTCAGCATTCATTCAATCCTCTCCCACGTTCATTGAAGAGCCTTATTACTAGCGTTTTGAATCTTAGCGGGTTGGTTGCTGGTTTCCATTTTTAGTTTCTTTCTTGAGGTTTTGTCCTGTTCTTTCATTTGGGACATGGTCTACTCTCATTTGCATGGACTCTCCATGTATCAGGTGGATGTGCTTTGTCTCAGTCTTAAAAGTGTTGAGTTGGAGGTGGTCATGGGAGGAGGGGAGCTGTGGGCTCAGCAGAGCAGCCCCTTAGCCACCGGCCGGTTCTCCGGGGTGTCCTGTGTGGTGGCACGTGCCCTCCTGCTGGAGCTGGGCCTTGCTGCTGCAGGCGCCGTGGTGGGCGGGCTCGCCCAGGCGGACTGGCTGCGCCGGCTGCCGCTGTGGCAGAGGAACACCTCGGGGGGAGACCGGCCCGGAGCAGCTCCTTCGGAAGGGCTGCAGGGTGTGGGTTGAGGAGCTGGTTGGGTGGGGATCTGAGAGGCCTGAAGCCAGCCTCCAAGTGTGTGGAGTCTGGAGTCCCAGGAGGGCCCTGGTGTGGGCGGGGCTGCCTGGTGGGACCCTCAGTGCTCCCCCTCACTGCTACGACTATGTGGTGCTCCCCGCCCTTCCTCCGAGGGAGCCTGCCGAGGGAGCTTCTGCCAGGGGGTCGGGGTGCGAGAGGGACGGGGTGGCTCAGGGAATCAGAGTTGGTGAAGGGCGGCCGCCAGGCTAAGGGAGAGTATGGGCTTGAGCACCTGCAGGACCAGCGGGGAGGAACGTGGCACAGGCCCTCGGCCCAGCCCTTGCCCTGGGGTTGGCCACTCCTCCCCACCTGAGCTCCCAGCCAGGGGGGCTCCCCTCCCGGCACTGGAGTCCCTCTGGGGGCCCTGCCTGGCTGGGACCCCCTGCTTCTCGGGAAGGGGAGGGTCTGCAGCCCAGACATGGCTGTCACGGGGTGGGGGTAGGGGTGGGGGTGGGGGTGGGGGTGGGGGTGGGGGCCCGCCCCTTCGGGGCCTCCTGGTGGCTCTTTGTACCCGAGTTCCAGGCGTTCTGTCAGCTGGCCTCCCAGGGGCTCAGTGTGGCAGCTCTGCCACTGGTGTAAGTTGGAGGTGGTCGTGGGAGGAGGGGAGCTGTGTATCTGCTCGGTCATCTGACTGCACCCCGAGAACACCCCTTGTTAACACCGACTCCGAGAGCAGGAGACAGCCCACCCCACCTCCCGGCTCCCGAGGCCGAGGAGAGCGAGCTGATGGGAGGCACTTCGGGCAGCTGGGTTCACAGAGCAGTTTGTCCTGGTTGTGGGTCCCCACCTGCAACGGCAGGGCCCATCCTGCCGCCCCCCACCCCGTCCTGCCGGCCCCCCCCCCCCGTCCTGCCGGCCCCCCCACCCCGTCCCGCCGGCCCCCCACCCCGTCCTGCCGGCCCCCCACCCCGTCCTGCCGGCCCCCCACCCCGTCCTGCCGGCCCCCCACCCCGTCCTGCCGGCCCCCCACCCCGACCTGCCGGCCCCCCACCCCGTCCTGCCGGCCCCCCCCAAGCAGAGTGCGCTGTGGGAGGGCTGAGGAGAGAGACTGACCACAGACCCCGGGGGAAGAGGCGTCCTGAACCACCAGCTGCTGGCGCCTGTGAATGTTCAAAAAATATTTATTTATAAAAAATACACTGGGATAAGTTTACGCTGAGAAACGCAGCAATAAATACAGTGAGACAGCGCGAGTCTACACCGCTACGCTGGCACGAGGGACGGGCACACGCCGGCCAGGCCCCGCGCCCGGCGCCAGGGCAACGCCCCCGAGACGCCCGCAGGGGGAGCCGCCGGGCGGCGCCGAGCGAGGCCGCCCGCCCCCCGTCGGCGACGGGGCGCTGAGCGCGGGTCAGTCTGGAGGAGCCGGACACTAGCTGGGGGAGGCTCCTACGCTTGCGGACGGTTCCGAAGGATGTGAGGAGGCGGGTCTGCCAGAGGGACCGCCCGCGCCGTCCGCTCGGGGTGGAGGCGGGCGGCGGGGGCAGGAGCGGGAAGCGCGCTAGGGCTCGGCGGAGCGGCGGCACCCAGGACGGCCGGCCCGGGGCGGCGCCTAGTAATCCAGGCCGGGGTCGCCGTACGGGTACTCGCGGGCGTCGTCGGGGAACCCGCCGGCGTACTCGTCGGGGAACTCGGCCTGCGAGTCGCTGTCGCTGACCTCGGAGCCGTTGGTGCCGGTGCCCTGGCTGCCGTTGCGCAGGACGGGCTCGGTGGGCGCGGCGCAGTACTTGGGGTCGTAGACCTGCCGCCCGAGCCCGTACACGCTCATGCCCTTCTGCGAGGCCACCTTGTTGGTGCCCATCTGCAGCGAGATGGTGGAGCTGTCCACGGGCTGCAGCGTGAGCTTCTGGTCGTAGATGTCCCTCCGGGTGCCCGGCGCCAGCATGCCCGCCTGCGACCGAGGGCGGAGGTTAGTGACCGCGGGTCGGTGACGAGGGACGGGCCCGGGGCGCGGGCTCCATCCACAGGAAGGTCCCCTCTCATCACTGATGCTTCTGCCTGCCTCTCCCTCTCCTTTCCTCTCCCTGAAATCAGTTCACACACACACACACGGCCCCTCACCTGGCTGGCCCCCTTGTTGGTGCCCATCTGCAGGCTGATGGTGGTCTGGTCGAAGGGCTTGTCCGTCTGCATCTTGGGGTCGTACAGGTGCCTCCTGGTCCCGTAGGCGGTCATGCCCGCCTGGCTGGCGCACTTGTTGGTCCCCATCTTTAAATCACAAAATGAGAGGGGCATCAGTTCCCGGACGCCGAGTCTCCCCTGGCCTCCGAAGGCGCATTTGAAGGAAGGACTCATCGTTAACCACACAGAAACGGCAACAGGACGGACGGACGGACACTAAGATGCCACAGAGGCTGGATGATGAGAAATCAGCTCCCTCAGCCTCCTCCCTCCCCATCGGCTGGGGCTGCCTCCGGAGGGCAGGGCAGAGGCAGGTGCCTCCCGCCCGGTGTGAGCTCCCGCCGGGTGTTCTGTGTAAAATGCGCAGCAGACCCAGGGGTCCGTCTGCGGAGGAACAGGCCCAGCTTCCACCCCTCCCACTGGCCCGTTCGCGGGGCAGGAGCCGCAGGGCAGTCCCGCGCCCACGTCCACGGGCTGAGCCTGGGGGGCACCGCCGGCCGCGGTCGGAGCAGCAGGAACCAGCGTCCTCTCCCTCCGAGGGCTGGGCCTCGGGACGAGCCAGCTGGGGCTTTCTCCTTAGAAAGCCTGGTCACAGGAAAGGTCTAGCAGACTGGGAGACTCAGGAGACACAGCAGCGTGAGCGGAGGAAGGGGTGGGCCGCTCCTCCCCTCGGGGTCTGCCCCCGAGACACCCCCGGCCCTGAGGAAGGGAGGGGGACCCCGGCTGGGGGTCCCCAGGAGCAGCGCCGACACCGGAGCGCTGGCCCCGACTCGGCCTTGGGGTCCGTGAGGCTGCCCACAGGCCCCTGGCCGCGATTTAGGAAGGGCGCCCCCTCGGAGAAGCAGTGCGGGCGGGAAGCCACTGCCGCAGCCACATCAGTGGCCGATGATGGCGGGGGCTCCCCTCAGCCAGCACGGCGTGGACGCAACCCCCCCCACCCCCAGCCTGCCCGTCCCCGCCCGTCCCCGCGATGGCGCCCTCACCTGCAGCCCGATGACGCTCTGGCCGGCCTTCAGCTTGCCCTCGTCGAAGCGCCGCGTCTGCTTCTCGGCGTACTTCACGCCGATGTCGATGGTGGTGTGGAAGCCTTTGGTCTTGGCCTGGACGGAAGCGCAGCCTCAGCCGGGCCCGGCCCAGGGGGAGGCCCCTCAGGCGTGGGAGCGCCTGACGGCGCCCAGCAGCCCCCACAAAGCTAACGATTACGGGGCCAGGCCCCCCACAAAGCTAAGGATTACGGGGCCGGCCCTCCCTGCCCGTCTGAGCCCGGGGGGGGGGGGGGGCACGCAGCTCACGCCCGTTCCCGAGGCGGAACCCGCACTGCAGACAGGGCGCACGTACCAGGCCGGCCAGCGCCACCAGTGTGGTCTGCACCTGCGTCATGTTCCCGTTCTCAAACAGGTCGTTGGCCTCGAAGATGTCGTGAGGCTTCATGCCGTACGCCTGGATGGCCTTGATGAAGTTGCCGATGTTCTCTAACTGGAAGGCAAGAGGCACGTGGGCCGGCTGCGAGGCCCTGGCCACCCAGACCCTGCGTCCGCCAGCAGCTCCGGGCGAGGCTCCGGGCCGCCCCGACGGGCACAGCTCCTCCGGGAGGGCGAGGGGGCTGGTCTTCCCCGGCCTGTGCTCCCACCGGGAACGGAACCCTGGCCCCCGGCTCCCAGGTCGGCACGCAGCCTCTGAGCTCGCCGGCCGGGGCTTTCCAGGGTTTTTAAAGGATGATTTTTTTTAGTTTCTCAAAAACATGATCTTCCTCACGTGCTTATAAGATTCCCATGTCCGTGTTGTCCAGGCTGACGTTCCCTTTGTCAAAAGGCACGTGATCTGTCATGTTTTGGTTTTAACGTGTGTGTAAATTTGTGGTGTTGTGGTTGCTAAATGCTTGGGCTCTTCTGTGTCAGAGCCCGCCGTGAAGTGTTCTGAATCCACACATCCCTGCCTGTCACACCGACAGCCGTCAAATTCCTCGCTCCCCCCGTTTCTCCTCTGCCCTCCGAGGCTTTCTCTGTGAAAACTTGCCAAGTCTTCTCTGAGAAGAGACAGACTGAAGACAAGAAAAACGCCCAGACGAAGCACCTAATAACCAGGCCTCGTTCTAGGGAATTACGGAAGCGTTAAGAACGCGGCACAAAAGCCAGACATGCCGCCAGCTCAGCCTTCTGCTGGATGTCGGTTTGGAACGCGTCCTTGAGTTTCGCTGCCTGAAGAGGGACCACCTGGCCAGCCGGCGGGCTCGGGGGCTGAACCCGGGGGCTAGGGTTCGATTTCTATTGTACAATAGTTGGGGCACAGGCCAGGTTGTGGGCTCGAGCCCGTGTGGGGCGTGCAGGAGGCAGTCGGTCCATGATTCCCTCTCATCACTGATGTTTCTCCCTCTCCCTTCCTCTTGGAAGTGAGTAAAAATAATATGTATAAGAAAAAGGAAATTGTGGTGAAGTAGGAAACCTCTACAAGTTCCCCACTTGATTTGTCTTAAAAAAAGAAAAAAGAAAAAGTGACCGAGGGTGTGTTACCTGCCCTGAGGGGGTGTGACCCGCCCTGGGGGGTGGGCTTACCTGCGGCCAGTTCAGCGAGGACTCGTTGACCTTCTTCACGGAGCCCGGCTGGAGCTTGTTGATGAGCCTGGGGAGGAGAGCACAGCTCACGGCGGTCCCCCCCCATCCCATGCAGGCAGCGTGGGCCCTGGCTCGGCGAGGTCAGGTGGTGTCCTGGCGGGGGGGGGGGGGGAGGGGGTAGAGGGGGAGGTGGGGGGGAGGAAGGGGGGGGGGGAGGAAGGGGGGGAGGTGGGGGAGAAGATGGGGGGGAGGAAGGGGGCAGGTGGGGGGGAGGAAGGGGGGAGGTGGGGGGGAAGATGGGGGGGAAGGGGGGAAGATGGGGGGAGGAAGGGGGCAGGTGGGGGGAAGGGGGAGGTGGGGGGGAAGGTGGGGAGGTGGGGGGGAAGGGGGGAGGTGGGGGGAGGGGGGAAGGTGGAGAGGTGGGGGGGAGGAAGGGGGGGAGGTGGGGGGAGGGGGGAAGGTGGGGAGGTGGGGGGGAGGAAGGGGGAGGTGGGGAGGTGGGGGGAGGAAGGGGGTTGGAAGGGGGCAGGTGGGGAGGAGGAAGGGGGAGGTGGGGGGGAGGGCCCTGTGGGCTTCGGCCGGGAGACTCACTCGCAGAGGATGATGCCGTCCTTGAGGCCCAGCTGGAAGCTGGTGCCGATGCTCATGCCCGTCACCTCCTCGATCCAGCCGCGCAGGTCCTCCTCCGCCTGCGGGTCGTACTTGGACGCGATCTGGAACACAGGGCGGCGTGAGCACCCGCCCAGCCTCACGCCTGCCTGCGGCCGCCGGCCACTCGCTCGCACCCGCTCTCTGCCGACCCAGCGCACCGCGGGGGCTTCAGGACAAATACCCGCCCGGGGAGCGGGGTGGGCAGCGAACGGGGAGACGCTGGGGCCGCGGAGGGAAACCACGCCGACCCCACGGCGCCCGCATGTGACACGGGGGAGACGGCCCCGCAGGGAGACAGTCCGGCGGGGAGAGACGGGAGAGACGGCCCCGCGGGGAGAGAGAGACGGCCCCGCGGGGAGACAGTAAGGCGGGGAGAGATGGCCTGGCGGGGAGAGAGAGACGGCCCCGCGGGGAGAGAGAGACGGCCCGGCGGGGGGGAGAGAGAGACGGCCCCGCGGGGAGAGAGAGACGGCCCGGCGGGGGGAGAGAGAGACGGCCCCGCGGGGAGAGACGGGAGAGACGGCCCCGCGGGGAGAGACGGCACCTCGGGGAGAGACGGCCCCGCGGGGAGAGACAGGAGAGACGGCCCCGCGGGGAGAGACAGGAGAGACGGCCTGGCGGGGAGAGACGGCGAGCTAACCAGGAGGAGGTGTTGCCCACGTCACATGACTGGGTTTTGGCTGTTGCGCCCAAATGCTGCTAATCCTTCGAAAAGAAGGGAGCTTCCAGCAGCCTCGCCAGCCGAGTGGAATTCACGACTTAGGAATGTGTGCTCTTTTCTCACAAACAAGTTTCAGATGAAAAGAAAATTCTATGAGACCATCTGGGAAAGCAATCTCTTTCACAAGGCCTCCCCTCCCGGACGCAGGGGGTCAGAGTCGGCCAGGCAGACGGGGACACGCGCCCACCGCCCACCGCCCAGCACCCACCGCCCAGCACCCACTGGTGGCCTCCGAGGCTCGAGCGCAGAGCAGCCCTAGAGCAAGCCCGGAAAAGGCAGCTCTGTGGTGGAGCTCGCCCCCATTTCCACCAAAAAGCTGTAATCCGGGCGTCGGGCGGGAAATGCCGACGTGTCCTTCCAGGCCTCGCGCTAGGCGGGTAAGCCCACCGCGCGCAGGCCTGGCAGCTCGGTCCAATCAGTCTCAGTATCGCTCTCTCCCGGCTCTTTATCAGCCTCGTTTCTTTACTCTGCCTCGGGGTTTATTTCACGTGATTCCCTAGCAACCTTCAGAGGCCCTGCCCGGAGCGGCCCCCCACCTGCTGCCCCCAGGCAGACACCCCTGCACGGAGCCTGCGGGAGCCCCCTGCAGGCAGTCCCCCGAGATGAGGATGAGGGGGTGTGGGAGGGGATGTGCCCCAGAGAATGAAGCCAGGTGTGGACAACAGCGGAAGGCCAGGGAGACCAGCCTCCTCCCCCCTCCCCCCTCCCCCCTCGCTGCCTGGAGACCAGGAACAGGATGAGGTCAGGCTCAGTGTCACGCCCGCCTGGGACCTGCCCGGGAGCCCCTGCGGACCACGTGCTCCTCGGTGCACCGCCAGGTCACATGCCTGGAAGTCAGACGTCAAACACTCTAAGTGTGACCTCAGGCGGTAACCGAACCTGCCCCTGCTCCCAGGGCCCCTCCTCTCGGGGCCGCGGGGCAGGCTGCCGGGGGTTTGACTGCTTTAAGCTGGTTATTTTTAAGAAACAAAAGACTAAAAAAAATAACCCCAAAAACCTCGGCCTCCGGCCCCCCCTCCCCCCAGAAGGCCGCTGAGGTTACCAGACGGGGCCGGGCGGGGCGGAGGCCTGTGTGAGCAAAGTCCACCACGGCCCGGCCCCGCAGACGCTCATTCACCACGTGACCTGCCCGCCCCCCTCCGAGGCCCACCCCCACCCCGTGTCCTCAGCTCAGGGCACCTGAGCCTCCAGGCCCGCTGCCCGGGGCCCATGCTCACCTGGTTACCCGCTCCGCCAGGACTGGGGGGGGGTGAGTGACCGCTCCCCCACGCGGCCTGGGGCCTCGGCCTGCCCACCTGCCGCCCTCGGACCCGCCGAGCACCGCTTCCTGCCTCCAAACAAGTGCCGATGGACACCGTGGCCAGCGCACAGTCACCGTGAAAGCAAAGACGCCGTCACTGACGCGGGACAGGGCCTCGCGGCCTCAGAAGTGTTCGGAAGAGCTGACGGTGGACGGGAGGGAGTGGGCGGTGATCCCCCAGAGCCAGAGGGTAACGACTGAGGGGTTCGAGTACCGCACGGGTGGGTGTGCGGGGCCTGGGCAAACGGGGGGACCGGGCCAGGACTGGACCCCCGGGAGTGTGGACCCCCTGGGCCAGGCCCGCACCCCGGAGCCCGCACAGAGCGCACCTGCCCGTGTCCTCCTGAGGGCGGGGGCGGGGCTTCACCCGTCCTCCGCCCCCGAGCCCACGCCTGGGCAGCGGCACCCGATGCCGCTGGGGAGACCAGACCAGGAAGACCCAGGGCGGTCTCGCGGCGCCTGCACCGGTGCCTGCGCCGGGCAGCCATCTCCTCCATCGCCATCTGGCCATCTCAGATGGAGCCGGCGGGTTTGGTTTGCTCCTGATAAAGGGCCTTCTGTCCGAGGCGCTCCGAGTCCCCGGAGAAACCCTAGCCGCGCCGGGAGGGGCCCCACGCCCGCGGGCCGGACGTCAGCCCAGCCGGGAGCGCCTGGCGACTCAGATTCAGATCTCGCTGGCCGCTGCCCTTGGAGGCCTCAGGGAAAGTAAAGTGGGGCAGAAAGAAGAAATTCAGGATTCCGAAAGATCCCGGCTTAATCCACAAATCATTCGAGGCGCAGGCACACCCTGCCCCAGAGCTCTGGGCAACTGATGGCCACGCGCACTCAGTGAGCCAGAGACCTTTATAAAACATTGCTTTAAAAAAAAAAAAATAGATTTGTATTGGTTTCAGAGAGAAGGGGAGAGGGAGAGAGAGAGGAACGTCAGTGATGAGAGAGAATCATGGATCGCCGGTCTCCAATGACTGGGACTTGAACTGTGGCCTCCGGGCTGGTGGGCGGATGCTCGCCCTGAGCCAGGCCGAGGCGGCCTAGGAGGGTCCTCCCAGGAGCCGGGGTGAGGACGTGCTGTCAGCCGAGGCCACTGCCCCCGCCCCGGGACAGAGGGCACGTGAATTGTCTCCTCCGGCCCGCCTGGGCCTCGAGGGGTCTGAGCCAGGCCCCCTCTCCTGCCTTCCTCCCCAGGTTGTCCCTCCCCCGGCCCCGGCCCCCGCCCCCAGCACCTTCCCTGCACCTGGCCAGGGGCACCCCGTTGTCTGAACAAGGGCACCTTTGATGGACCCTGAGGGGCTGACACTGTCCCGTTCTCGCCGCCTGGAGACAAGCATGGCCACTTGCTCCTTCCTGCCCCCCTCCGGGAAGGTGCGTCCCGGAGCCACTGCTCTGCTCGGCGGTCCCGTGACCCTGGGACCCAGGGCGGCGGAGGCAGGGGGACATCCAGGAGGCGGGTCTGCACAGGGACCGGCCGGGGCGGGGGAGGCAGGGGGCGCCCCGCGGCGGGTCTGCACAGGGACCGGCGGGGGGTGGAGGCAGGGGGACATCCAGGAGGCGGGTCTGCACAGGGACCGGCCGGGGCGGGGGAGACAGGGGGACATCTAGGAGGCGGGTCTGCACAGGGACCGGCCGGGGCGGGGAGGCAGGGGGCGCCCCGCGGCGGGTCTGCACAGGGACCGGCCGGGGCGGGGGAGGCAGGGGGCGCCCCGCGGCGGGTCTGCACAGGGACCGGCGGGGGGCGGAGGCAGGGGGACATCCAGGAGGCGGGTCTGCACAGGGACCGGCCGGGGCGGGGGAGACAGGGGGACATCTAGGAGGCGGGTCTGCACAGGGACCGGCGGGGGGCAGAGGCAGGGGGACATCCAGGAGGCGGGTCTGCACAGGGACCGGCCGGGGCGGGGGAGGCAGGGGACATCCAGGAGGCGGGTCTGCACAGGGACCGGCCGGGGCGGGGGAGGCAGGGGACATCCAGGAGGCGGGTCTGCACAGGGACCGGCGGGGGCGGGGGGGGCGGGGGGCGCCCAGGGGGCGGGTCTGCACAGGGACCGGCGGGGGCGGGGGAGGCAGGGGGCGCCCAGGAGGCGGGTCTGCACAGGGACCGGCGGGGGCGGGGGAGGCAGGGGGCGCCCAGGAGGCGGGTCTGCACAGGGACCGGCGGGGGGCGGAGGCAGGGGGACATCCAGGAGGCGGGTCTGCACAGGGACCGGCGGGGGGTGGAGGCAGGGGGGCATCCAGGAGGCGGGTCTGCACAGGGACCGGCGGGGGCGGGGGAGGCAGGGGGCGCCCCGCGGCGGGTCTGCACAGGGACCTGCGGGGGCGGCGGAGGCAGGGGACATCCAGGAGGCGGGTCTGCACAGGGACCTGCGGGGGCGGGGGAGGCAGGGGGCGCCCAGGAGGTGGGTCTGCACAGGGACCGGCGGGGGCGGGGGAGGCAGGGGGACATCCAGGAGGCGGGTCTGCACAGGGACCGGCGGGGGGTGGAGGCAGGGGGACATCCAGGAGGCGGGTCTGCACAGGGACCGGCGGGGGGCGGAGGCAGGGGGACATCCAGGAGGCGGGTCTGCACAGGGACCGGCGGGGGGTGGAGGCAGGGGGACATCCAGGAGGCGGGTCTGCACAGGGACCGGCGGGGGGCGGAGGCAGGGGGACATCCAGGAGGCGGGTCTGCACAGGGACCGGCCGGGGCGGGGGAGGCAGGGGGACATCCAGGAGGCGGGTCTGCACAGGGACCGGCCGGGGCGGGGGAGGCAGGGGGCGCCCAGCGGCGGGTCTGCACAGGGACCGGCGGGGGGCGGAGGCAGGGGACATCCAGGAGGCGGGTCTGCACAGGGACCGGCGGGGGGCGGAGGCAGGGGGACATCCAGGAGGCGGGTCTGCACAGGGACCGGCCGGGGTGGGGGAGGCAGGGGGACATCCAGGAGGCGGGTCTGCACAGGGACCTGCGGGGGCGGAGGCAGGGGGACATCCAGGAGGCGGGTCTGCACAGGGACCAGGGGGCGCCCCCCTCCTTCACCGAGCGCCGGCCTCAGGGCCGGGTGGAGGCCGGG